GCGAGCCAAATGAATTCTACAGTTGACTAAAATCCACATTGCCCATTTTAAAATTGCATCCTAAAATTGTTTCCTCTTGCCCCGGCCAGGTAGGTAGCTCAGTTGGTTAGAGCAGTAATTGCCAACCAGTGGTCTGTGGACCATTGGTGGTCCGTGAGGTCCGAAAGGTTGGCAACTGCTGGGTTAGAGTGTCGTCCTGATAGACCAAGGTTTCAGGTTCCATCTCCAGTCAGGACACATACAAGAATCAGCCAGTGAATGCATAATGTTTTTCTCTCTCTGTCTTTCTCTAAAGTGAATAAATACATTTTTTTTGTTGTCTAAAGTTTTTCATATGTCTCCTTTTCCCCCAATTGGACCCCCCTCCCCCCAGGAATAAGTATATTTAAACAATTTAAAATTGTTCTTTTTAAAAAAAACAACAACATTGTTTCTTCTTTTAGGAGGTTTCTAGTTTTCTTTTCCCCCTTATATACCTCGCTTCCTCCCCCCCCCCTTCATTCCATTAACTTAATTTCCATCTCTGACAAATTCCAAATTGGATAAAGCTTCTTTCCCAAAATTTCACAAAGTATTTATTTGGCAGAGGTCTATGGAGGTGTCACTCTACTGCTTGCTAGAGACACAATGATGGTTCCGTTTTTTTCTGCTCTTGAAGCACTCACTCTCCAGACAGAGAGATGGACAAGCAGATAGACAATCTCAAGATGTAGTGTGGTAAATTCAGCTGAAGATAGAGGGTTGTTGGGTGTTGGGCAGTTTCTTAGACAGGATGACATGTGACATGTGAGCTTGATCTTGAAGAAGCTGGCTTAGGGAAGAAAGGGTTTGGGTGTTGGCTTAAACAGCACATTTATTTTCTTAATGATTCTGGAGATTGAAAGTCCAAGATCAGGGTGCTCAGCATGGTTGGTATCTAGAGAGAGCTCTCTTGCTGGCTTGCAAATGACCGCCTTCTTGCTGTGCCATCACATGGTGGAGGGAGGGAGGGAGGGAGGGAGGGAGGGAGGGAGGAAGGAAGAGAGAGAGAGAGAGAGGGAGAGCGCCTCCCTTGAGTGAAGGATGCTGTAGGTGTAAAGGTATAGGTGTGGGAGGCACTATCACCTTCTCAGGACTCAGGTAGTTCTGAAGGGCTGCAGCATACCCAGGATTGAAGCTGCAGAGGCAGGCGGTAGCTACCTTAGGACTTGCCTACTGAGTGAGGCTAACACATTTCAATTCATCCTGAAAAAGTGAGAGTCATTAAAACAATTTAAAGGAAGAGAATGATGAATTAGGTCTGTGTTTAGAACGAATATTGTAGAGCAGTGGTTCTCAACCTTTCTAATGCCACGACCCCTTAATATACTTCCTCACGTTGTGGTGACCCCCAACCATAAAATTATTTTTGCAATCCACAGGTTGAGAACTGCTAGCAGGGTCGCCTAAGACCATCGGAAAACACAGATATCTACATTACGGTTCATAGCAGTAGCAAAATTACAGTTATGAAGTAGCAACGAAAATAATTTTATGGTTGGGGGTCACCACAACCTGAGGAACTATATTAAAGGGTCAGGCATTAGAAAGGCTGAGAACCACTGCTCTGGAGGTAATGTGGACGGTGAATCACAGGTGGAAGAGAATGGTAGCAGGAGGCCGTCAGGCAGTAAAAATACCACATTGAGTGCAATGCTTCAGAAACAGCAGGTTTTCAATACTGATTTTTATAATTATACAAAGGCCTGAAAGAAAGGTGCATCTGCTTTTGGAAACTGGCATTATCTCTTGCTGATTTCTTGCTTGACTTTGGGCAAGTCTTTTTATTATATTTATCTCCCATGTGATGGTATTAGAAGGTGAGGTCTTTGGAAGGTGATTAGGTCATGAGTGGAATAGTGAGCTCACAAGCGGAACCCCAGAGAGCTCCTGGACCCCTCCCACCATGCGAGGTGACACAGGAGCGGACAGCTGGCTGGGAATCTGGACGCTGGCTCTCACCACACACCAAATATGCCGGTGCCTTGGCATTTCCAGCCTCCAGAACTGTGAGGTATAAATTCCTCTTATTTATAAGCTGTGGGCTAAGACAGGAAAACAAGATGAGCATGCTGCATCAGATGTGATTAGAGAATTCTGGTGACAAGCAGATAGGAGGAGGAAGAGGGTTGGTAGAAAAGACAAAGCTTAGAATATCTTTAAGATAGGGATCTTCATCTCAGTACACTTCAACACAAACTAAATTTATTTTTTGCAAACTAAATTTTGTTTTCAGAAACTTTGAAGAACCTTTATAGTCTAAGAATAATGTAGACTTCTGATTATCAATGTGTGAAAAGCTCTGTCAGTGTTAGAGTTTGTTTTTAAAAATATATATATTTTATTGATTTTTTACAGAGAGGAAGGGAGAGAGATACAGAGTAGAGAGAAACATCGATGAGAGAGAGTCATCGATCAGCTGCCTCTTACACGCCCCTTACTGGGTACATGCCCTTGACTGGAATCGAACCCGGGACTTTTCAGTCCGCAGGCCGACGCTCTATCCACTGAGCCAAACCGGTTTCGGCCAGTGTTAGAGTTTTTACTACTTGAGGTTAGAGCTCCAAGACCTTAACTATTATAGGACAGCATGTCACATTCCTTTGAAAACTTGACCAAGTGACATGTGCTTGTACAGAGTTCTATATCCTTGTGTGTCTATATCCAACAGTAGGCCTGCTGTTGTGTCTTCACAACTCTAACCCTTTAGTCTTTTTTATTTTTAAATATATTTTTATTGATTTCAGAGAGAAAGGGGGAGGGAGAGAGAGAGATAGAAACATCAGTGAGGAGAGAATCATCAATTGGTTGCCTTCTGTATGCCCCCTGGCCCCCTTGCTGGGGATCAAGCCTGGAACCCAGGTATGTGTCCTGACGGGAATCAAACTATGACCTCCTGATCCATAGGTCGACATGCAACCACTGAGCCACACCAGCCGTACTAGCCCTTTAGTCTTTACCTGACTATTTGGAAATGGATCTGAAAGCAGAAAGTTCTAGAGGGAAACTATGGAGTGGTAAGCTGTTCCAAGTTACCTTGTAAAACTAGTAGCCATATTCATTCATTCTAGAATGTTTATGTCCTAGCCAGTGTTTGCGGGAGCACCAAAGAATCTTGGGTTCGATTCTTGGTCAAAGGCACATACCTGGATTGCAGGTTTCAACCCCAGCCCCAACCCCAGCCCCAGCCCCAGCTGGGGCATGTTTGGGAGGCAACATTGATGTTTTTCTCTCTCTACCCCTTTCCCTCTCCTTTACCCTCCTCCTCTCTCCCTTTCTTTCACTCTCTAAAAATCAATGGAAAAAGTACCTTCCTGTGAGGATTAAAAATAAAAATAAAAAGTTGATTGATTTTATGTCAGGGATTGTCCAAAGATCTGGAACTAAAAATAAAAGGTCAAGTTCCTGGCTTTGAGTTGCTCACAGAGGTGTAGACACATATTTAAACCAGTAAGTTATACCGCAGCACTGTAAATGCTATCTTTAAGAGACTTGTGAACAATTTGTATGTATTATACAGCCCTGTATGACCGGCATATCTCATTTACTCATCAAAACAGTCTTGTGAAACAGGTGGCATTAATTTCCTCATTCTACAGAAGAAGAAATTGAGAATAGAGAAGCGCTCTAGATTTTATCAAGTCCCAGATTTAAACTCATGTCTTCTGATTGTAAATCTTACGAACTTTGCACTATACTAATACACCCGTTTTCTTCTTAATAATTACCTTCTTCCTTTTCTTAGCTGGGGAATTCCTCTGATGCAAAGAATTATGGGCTTTGCATCTCATTCAGCCATTGAGCCACACTGGCTGGGCAGTAATTCTTAATAACATTGTTCATGACATATTTCAGAACTCATGTAGTATCTTAATAAATAGTATTTCAGCTCATTGTTTTTTAAATTTTACCAACAAACTATCCTTAGTAGTAGAGTGTAGAGAGGAGGTGGTCGCACGCGCGCACGTGTGTGTGTGTGTGTGTGTGTGTGTGTGTGTGTGTGTATGCATGTTCATATGAGGTGGGGGTGGGTGGAATAGTTCAAAACGGCAAGTAAGAATTTTGAAAATGTATATATATATATATTTATTGATTTCAGAGAGGAAGAGTTAGAAACATCAATGATGAGAGAATCATTGATTGGCTGCCGCCTGCACATCCCCTACTGGGGATTGAGTCTGAAACCTGGTCAGGTGCCCTGACTGGGAATTGAACTGGGACCTCCTAGTTCATAGGCCAGTGCTCAACCACTGAGCCACACCAGCCAGGCCTTTTCCAAGTTTTGAATGGATCATGTAGCCCCCTTAAAGCCCTCCAGTACCTCTGCTTCCCCTGGCACACAAAGCACATCCTAGTCCAGGCCCAGCGTCCTCTCCCAGCTGCATTTCCCTCCAGTTCCTACCGGCGTGTGCTCCAGCCAAAACCAACTGTATAGTTGTCCTCAAACAACTCGCCTTTGCCGCTTTCAGCCTTTGAGCATGCTCTTCTGGCTCTGTTCTTTCTCTCTACCTGGTGACCTCATTCTCCCAAGACCCAATGCTCATATCACAGCCTTTTAAATCTCTTTGATTTTCATATGTATGAGACTATTCTTATCTTGTAATTTATTCATCTGGGTTGAGCACAGTGTCTGGCATATGGCAAGCACTGAGTAATAGATGGATTTTCATTGCTTTACCTGTTCGTTTAGCAATTCTTAATGAAATGAAAGTAGTAAACTCTTACTATTTGATGCAAATAAAACATTGTTTCTTGCCCAGGCCAGTGTGGCTCAGTTTGAGTCCCATACACCAAAAGGTTGTGGGTTAGATTCCCAGTTGGGGTGCATATGGGAGGCAACCCCAATTGCTGTTTCTCTTTCCCCTTTTACCTTCCCCCTCTCTCCCCCTCTCTCTAAAATATCAATAAAATATTTCCTTTAGTGAAGATATAAACACATACACCCAAAACATTGTTGTTTTTTTCTGTCTTCTTTTCCCTAGGTGGTTCTGGAATGGAGCCGGGACCAATACCACGTTTTATTTGATTCCTACAGAGACAATGTTGCTGGAAAGTCCTTTCAGAATCGGTGAGAAAAGATTCATTTTGGAGATTTTATTTTTAGTTAAATGATAAGTTAGGAAAGCACCCATGTTTAAATATAGCAATCAAGGGATCTCTCCAAGTTGTAGATGTGGTTTAACTTATTTAAGACTCCTCCCATCTGAAGGAACCTTGTAATGCATCCTCACATTTTTTATTTTATTTTATTTTATTTTATTTTATTTTATTTTATTTTATTATTATTTTTTAAAACATTTCTAAACTTTTTTTAAAAAAAATATATTTTATTGATTTTTCACAGAGAGGAAGGGAGAGGGATAGAGTTAGAAACATCGATGAGAGAGAATCATCGATCAGCTGCCTCTTGCACACCTTCCACCAGGGATGTGCCTTGCCCGGAATCGAACCCGGGTACATGTCCTTGCTCGGAATCGAACCCGGGACCCTTCAGTCCGCAGGCTGACGCTCTATCCACTGAGCCAAACCGGTCCCGGCGAATCCTCACCTTTTTTAGATGGAAAATCTGACTCCCAAAGAGTAATGCTGCCTTGCAGTTTGTTGAGTACTTTGTTACATGATCTCATTGTATGCTGCCCCAGTTCCAGGAGGTAAAGGTAATTTCATCCCCCTGAAGGATGAGGGAACTGAGTGACTACTCTGCAGCTGTTCTGAGCCCTGACCAGTATTCTATGGTTGACGTCACTCTGTTAACGAGGGCCATTCCCATGGTCGCCACTGGGACTGGACCTCACCTGTCCCTGTGGCCACCACATCTTGCTGTCTTGCTATGGGAAGGAGCAAACAACCTCCAGGTTGGATCTTTGGCTTCTTAAGGTCAAGCTTCTTGGTGTGGCCATTCTTGAATGCTGCCTTCAACTTCTCCTTTTCTTGAAGAGTTTTCCTCTCTCACAAGACATTGGGAGCAGTCTTTACCAATCCCCTCCTTCCCTTCTTGCAGTTGAAATGAATTGCATAGGCTCTGTTCATTGTTTGTCTATAAAGCTATTATTTATATTGTTTTATATCATAAAAGCAATAGATGTCTCTGGTGAAAGCAGTTCAGCAATACAGAAAAATAGGAAGTAAAGCCTCTCTCTGTTCCATTCTGGATTTTCCCACTCTCAGGAACCACTGTTAATGAATTTTTGTTTTGGATTCTTCTGGTGATCATTCCATCTTTAAAATCAAAAGTCTTCTCCCTTTTGATTTATTCACTTTGTGCAATATCTATCGACTCTCCTTTTCATTGTAATGGCACACAGCAAATCAATACAGGGGAAGGAGCAAGAGGGGACCAAAACAAATGGGAACCTCGGTACTTAACTTCATAAAAGAACTTGGTCTAAATGTCAGAAGTCATAACCAGAGATTCTGACTGTCATTATCCCCTGAGAATAGAACCCATAAATCCTTCCCGCTACTCTCACTGAACCAGAAAATCCATTGAAACTACAAGTAATAATTGGTGTTCATTGGCACACTTGGACAGTTTTCTAAGAACTTCTAGATTAAATCACTGAAGCCCTTGTCCCCAGCTTAGAAGCACTCCCTATCCCTCTGCTCTCTTGTTATGAGTACCTAGTGATTTCTATCAAGTAAGAAGTTTTAAAAATAACTGCTAATTAGGTCTGTGCATTTTTTTAAAAAAATACATTTTTTATTGATTACTAGAAAGAAGGGAGAGGAAGAGAGAGATAGAAACATCAATGAGAGAGAAACGTTGATCAGCTGCCTTCTGCACTCCCCTTCCTGGGGTTTGAACCCACAATCTGGGCATGTACCCTGATTGTTGGAATCGAACCAGTAACCTCTTGGTGCATGGGCTGATGTTCAACCATGTAATTGCACTGGCCGGGCTGGATGTATGCACTATTATAGTTCACACCATCTCAATGAAGAGGGCTTGTGGGATTTCTTGAGTTGATCTAAAGCTTTACTCTTTGCTGTGGTCCTTAAATGAATGTCACCCAGACTTTGCTTCTTTAATGAAGATGGAATCTGAGTCTTACTCTGTTTTAGATCCTGTGATATAACTATCTGCTGTAAAGAATTTTGTAGTCTAGTAGGGGAGGTAACTTGTAGCCGAGTAACTAGTGGAGTAGGGGAACTAGATCTTTCTTTTAGGATCTCTTAAAACAGAAGTTTACCAAGATCTTGGGTGCCCGTGAAATAAAAACTATTTTTATAACCATACTAAGGTGCCATTTGCTATTTTACTGTGTTGACATTAGCATTGATGGTATAAAAGCAGTGTGGGTAACATTGCCACACCTTAGCATGACTCATTGTATTCTCTACCATCTCATATTTGCAGGTGCAAGAGAAACTTAGTTTACTTTAAAATACTCATGATAAAGCAGTAAAAAATTATTAGTTTGATTGTATCTTGGCCCTTTGAGTAAGTATGCCTTTAATGTGTGAGAGGAAAGGGGAAGCAGTCCTAAAGACCTGACTGCATGGAGATTGTCTTGAGGAAAAGCCACATGGTAATTGAGTTGTGGCCTGAACTAGCTCTTCTGTTCATGGAACACCATTGTTATAACCTGAAAGGACAAATTCATGTATGATTATCAAACTTGGTTATTTGGCAAGGATTTTCTTGACAACGAACAAGCGATCCTGTCTCTTGAAGAAAAAATAGTATTTGTTGCCAACGATAAAGCTTAAACTTTCAGATGAAAATTAGAATTTTGGAAAACACATTCCCACCACTGTGAGCTTAGCTAGCTTCACAACATTGTAGGCTTCTCTGACTAGATTTGTGATTATCCAAAGCAATCCCCATTATTAATATTATATAAGAAAATTAAGGCAATGTGTCACTATTTGGCAGATCTGCAAAACTCTATACTCTGTTATTCTGTAGGTAACTAGTACATTGATGTTACAGACTTTTGCATGGTTGAAAGCCATTATTCAAAGGGAAAGAAAGACCAATGGATTTTAATATAAAAGCGCAAAAAATTTATATGTTTCCGATTCCGTATTGCAACTAATTTTTAAGAAACTACCACTTTTTTTGGTGTAGCAGCAAAAAAACATTCCTTTTTCCAACTTCATATCTGTTTGCGCCTGGGGTTTTTTCATACACTTCAACCAAAACAACGTAAAGGGGTCAGACTGAATACAAGAGATTGGAGGTGCTTGTTTTCCTCTGCTAAGTCTCTGAAGAGATTTGCAGAAATGTAAAACAATGCTTTTCTTCTCACTAAATTTTGTTATTGTGGGAAATAGTTATTTTCATTAAAAAAAGTTATTCATATGAATAGTTAACATGAATAGTGAACTGGCTTATTTTGTTTTAAAATGCGTTACTATTTTAAAACTTAACTTAAAATATCTTAGGTGTGCATAGTTATAATCTATAAGCAAAAACTTCTTTGGGGACCTTAATAATTTTTAAGAGTGTGAAAGGTCTGAGACTAAAAAGTTTGAGAACCATTTCCTTAATGTAGCAATTTTCAAACTTTATTATGTACCAGAATCTCAAGGAAGGCTTTCTCCCCGGCCCAGAAGTGCCTAAGTCCATAGGTCTTAGAGGGGCTTGGGGAATTTTCATTTCTAACGTGTTCACTGATGATACTGTACTGCTGGTCTGATGACCACACTTTGAGGACTATTGCATGAAAGAATTCTTAATGAAATAGAATTCCCCTACTTCTTTAGTTTTCATTTTAGTAACACTGAGTTTTCTAAGGAAAGCTCAATATGAGTTGTCTTTTTTCTTAACCATTTATTGAGTACCTACTCAACCTACTGTGCCTTCTGCTGTGCCGGGTGCTGATGGTGCAGCCGTATAAATCCCCGCCCCAAGCACTTCACAGCCTTTAGAAGGAAAACTAGCTTAGAAAACACAAATACTGAGGTCAGCAGTTTTAATCAAATTCTTCTTCTGTTTCTGAAGAAATTTTCTTTATGTGTTAAATATTTCTTTCCTGCTTTTCAATTGCATTAAAATGTAGTTTGATTTTTATGCAGGGGTATTTCTAAGTTGCATAATTTTGATGGTGACAAGTAAATGGATCATATATAACATATCATATGTTCTAATATATTTTAGAATATCATAATGTTTATAGGAAGTTTCATGATTTTGCTAGTTTTTCTATACGTCTTTTTCATGTTGTTTGCCCTGAATGGGAAAAAATCCCATTCTATATGTCAATAACAAGAGAATATATAAATTATGTACTGCTAATTGTGACGCCTTATGTTTCTTTGGGGCTCAATTTTGTGTACTCTAAATTGTAGATATTAGATTAAATATAAAATCTCTCCCAATTTTTTGGGTCTGAGATACTATTTAAGTTCTAAGTTTTTTTGTTTGTTTTGTTTTGTTTGTTTTTACCTACTTTTCATTTAATCTAAACTGATTAAAAGTTGTGTCACTGTCATCACAGCTTTGGTTTTGAGTCATAGATGATTGATAGTCTTCAAACTAAGATAGACTTCCTTCTAATCTGGAAACTAAGATAGTGATCTCGTGGTTAGAATGAAAGATTCACACTCATTGTGACCGTGTCTAATAGGAAAATAATTGACTCATTGACCCAGAGTAGATCACATGGTTTCATTAGGCTTGTTAGTTTAACACCAAAAAATTAAATTTATCTTAAAGTCTTAGAAGAGCCAGTACATAAATGCATTATGTACTTACATTGTCTTCCTCATTTGAATATGTATGGATATCTCTTGATTCTACTTTAAAAATCTTTAATAGCAGATACGTACTTTTATAGGAAAGCTTTGGAACGTACAGTTCCTTTTTTTCTTGTTAAAATATTTTTAAATTAAATTATTTAAACAGTTTTTTAATTTTTCAGTCTAAGCAATCCCAAGAAGTAGGAGTGGGGTGACCCCAGATAATTTACAGGAGGGTAATGTGAGGCTTTTTTTTTTTTTTTTTTTTTAATGGAAAAGACCAATGTATGTTGAGGGAATGAACTAATACTTATTTAATTAACAAGTATATATTAAACCCAGTGTACTAGGCACTGTTCCAAAGCATGCAGTGATGAATAAGCAGAACTCATATAGAACTGACATCTTAGTGGGAAAGTTTTTGTTTTGTTACTTAAAATGTGAACTATAATGTACATATAAATCAGCAGTTTTCAAAGTGAATTTTCAGATCAGCAGCATTGGCTTCACCTTATTAGAAATGTGAATTCTGGGGCCCCAGGCCAGACCTAGTGAATTGGACATTCTGGGGATAGAGCCCAGCAGTCTGTTTTACAAGGAGATTGTGATTCCTGCTAGCATTTGAGAACCATTGATTCAGATGTATGCAGAAAAGGCCCATATGAGGAGGCATTTTGCACACCATTATGGAGGAAGAGAGAGCTGAAGATAAAGGAAAGAGAGGAAATAATGAAGCAGAGCACAGAATGCTTAACATTTTGGCCCAGAATACGCATCTAAACTGGAAAGATAGACACTAAAAAACAGTCCGACACAGTGTGCTAAGGATTCCTTAGTGAACAAAGCACGGTGGGAGCTGTGTGTTGAGCAGTACATGCTCTTTGAGGGAGCAGTGGGAAGAGGGCGATTGGGAAGGAGGAAGTGGTTGAAAGAAGCATGAAAGAAAGGATATTTCAGGCAGAGGAGGAAGCATGTTCAAAGGCACAGCAGCCTGCAAGGTCTTATCCTGTTTGGGTAAGGCCATACATTGGAGTATCTAGAAAACAAGGTGCAGAGTGTGCAGGAGTTTCGATGTTAATTTGCAGGCAGTGGTGAACCTTGACCTATGAGGGTTGGTAGATGCTAGTCTAGTCATCACATGTGTCTGAGAGTGAGGTGATTCCTCATTTTCCCACGAAGCCCTTCGTCCCTTGGTACCTCTTTACCCCACCTCCTCTTCTGTTCTTCCCTTTGCTTCCATTGCTTCTGCCACACTGGCCTCTGACCATGCCCATAGGTGTCTGCCTTGGGCATTTGCACAGGGCATTCCCTTCCTCTGGACCATTCTTCCCTCCAGTTACCTACATTGTTTACTTCCTCCCTTTGCATCTCTGCCGAAATGCCACCTTCCAGTGAGGCTGTTTCTGATTTCCCCATTTCACACTGACCTCCCACATAGATACACTCTGTATCCCTATTGTTTGTGTTGTTTTCCCATAATGACATTGGCCAGCATCTGACTACATTTGGTTGATTTCACGTCTTCACCTTTCTAGAACGTAAGCTCCATGAAAGCACAGGTTTGAGTTTTATTTTATTTTCTGCTGAATCCCCAACATCCAGAACAGTGCCTAGCACATACTGAGTGCTCGGCAAACACTTATTCACTGAATGAGTAGACACTCTTTTCCTCTCCTCATCTCACTTGCTTTTTTTTTTTTTTTTTTAAGCTATTTTTATTGGTTTCAGAGAGGAAGGAAGAAGGAGAGAAGGGAGAGAGAGATAGAAACATCAATGATGAAAATCATTGACCGGCTGCCTCCTGCATGTCTCTACCCTTCCTCCCCCTACTGGGGTCTGAACCCACAATTCGGGCATGTGCTCTTGGCCAAATCGAATCCAGGACCCTTCAGTCCATAGTCTAATGCTCTATCCAACTGAGCCACACCAGCTAGGGCTCACTTGCTTCTTTTAAACTAAAACTTGTCACTTCTTTTTTCCTTCCCTTTTTAATAGGAAAGATTTACCCACCAAACCACATTTATTTTCCATGAGATAATTAACCCTGTGCTGCATGGAGTGATTGTAGCCACAAGCAAAGACTGATGTTTTGACTAGGCTCTTGAGCTCTTTGTACTGTTGTGGCCCTTAACCCATGCCTGCCTGTGAGGAAAACAAAAGGAGAGTAAGCTTTGATCCTTGGCAAACACACACACACACACACACACACACACACACACACAAAAAAAAAAAAAAAAAAAAAAAAGCTGTACCATTACCATTACTTGGAAAAGACCAAACTATACACAGAATCATCCAAAGTATATGTCATATGTCACTGTGAACTCCTGTGTCACAACTCTAGAGCAGGCTCTGAAAGATGGGTAAGATTGGGTAAGTTGATGAAAGAAAGGGAAAGAAAGCTTTTATCCTGAGTACAACCTGAACAGAAACACTAAGATAAGGTTTAGAAAGGACACTCAAGAATTAAAAACAAACTCTTCCCCCCCCCCACACACACAAAAGAGCAAAACAACAACAATAATATAACAAAGAATTAAAAGCCTATCCGACTCCTTATTTTGAGGATAATGAGGGGGAAACAAAGCTCAAATTTGAAGGGCTCAACACACACACGTTCTGTACTGATGTCTCGGAAATCGTTGGCTCATTCAGCTCCTACGTGCCAGGCACTCTTCTAATCTATTGGGTGTTTCAGGGAATAAAACGGAAGTTTCCTGCTTTGTTGGAGCTTACGTTGTGGGGGAGGGACATTCTAGCACTTGGGGGCAGCAAGGAACAGGAAGGCTACAGCATTCAATAGAGCTAGGTCTTCATTCTGGACTGCTTGATAACTCAGGTCATTTTAAGCTTCTAATTCTTTTCTGTGTTTAGCTGCATTTGTTTAGCAATTTTCACTAAACTGAGGATGTATCAGTTTGATGTGCACTTTTAAAGACACCCCCCCCCCCCCCACACACACACACTAATTATAAATGTGGAGTGATCGCAGTCTCTTTACAAGGTGGTTGTGAGGACCAAATGATGCCAACTACATAAACTACATAAAGTACATAAACTGCATAAAGTTCTCCAGCATGTATTCATCCCTCAGCTCCAGTTTGAAACGTGCAATTCTGTGATATATGCCATGCTGGAATTACCTTTTCATTGATTTTTTTTCATGACCTCTAAGTTTAAACCTGGCATACTCTTCAAATATATTGGAAAAATGCATATAAGCTTAAGGACTTGTGGGTCTTCCCTAGGCTCTGTCTGCCCATGCCGATCGACGTGGTGTACACCTGGGTGAATGGCACCGACCTTGAACTACTGAAGGAACTGCAGCAAGTCAGGGAACAGATGGAAGAGGAGCAGAAAGCCATGAGGTAAAGCTGAGATTTGAAAAGCAAAACACAACGTTCTACAAGTAACAGTACAGCTCAGAGGGGTAAGGTGGCATTTGCGAAGACATCCAGACAAAAATCTGCATCTCAAATGTATGCTATTTCAAGGTCTTGGCAGCCATATGTCTGACCTTTGTTTCTCGGTGCCTAAAGAGGACTCAGCCACTTGGGTGAGATCCTGGCCTCCCTTTGTTAGATGTCATTTTAGACCGTGGCACTCTGTGGTGGCCTTGGTCTCTGAGGGGCCTCACGGTGGAGGAGCCTCCCAAAGGAACCCTGGGTTTCCCGCTCACTCAGTCTGAGTCCCAGGCATCCTCAAGAAGTGAGGTTTTAGTACACCAAATAGCTATACAGCACATTAGGGTGGTCCCTTGAAAAAGAAAACAGGCCTACAGATTTAAATTTTCTCCATTCAATAAAGGCAGTAAAAATATATTGCCTTTTAATATCAATTAATATACTATGGAACTAGAAACTTGGTAATTCTTTTCAATGTGGAATTTGATCATTTTATTTGCTTTATCTGGGAAAGGTAGGTACAGTGGGCTTCTGAGAGCCTTCTGAGCTAGGGACCTCGCTGATGTAACCTCCCCTCTGATTCCTCAGGAGTGTTTGCTGAGAACTTCTCCATTCACTCCTTTGTGAACGTTATGGGTGACAGCCAATCACAGGTCATTGGCCAGGTTATACTGCAACTGATAGTCTTCCTCTCAGTGTTAGAGAAAGATGGAAGACCTTCCCAGGGCATGAAAATAGCTTTGATAGCCTGGTACCATGATCTTCTAGTATTGTAGTAGTCAGCAAACTGCGGCTCATGAGCCACATGCGGCGCTTTGGCCCCTTGAGCGTGGCTCTTCCACAAAATACCATGGCCTGGGGCGAGTCTATTTTGAAGAAGTGGCGTTAGAAGAAGTTTAAGTTTAAAAAATTTGGCTCTCAAAAGAAATTTCAATTTGGCTCTGTTGACTAATGAGTTTGCCGACCACTGTAAAGATGTAAAAGCTTCTGTTTTAAGTAATCTGTTATGATTACTGTGGAAGGCACATGATATTATTTGTTGATCAGATGTCATTAAATGTATAATTTCATAATGTACCTTAAATGTTGTGAGCATTATAGTACTTCCAGCTGGTTAGTTCCAGTGGAGTAACTGAGAAAATCAATATTGTAAGTCATCTCTTATTCACATTTAGGGCCAGCACTGGTCCATGCATGTGTAATGAAATGTGTCTGCTTTCTTTAGAGAAATCCTTGGGAAGAACACAACAGAACCAACTAAGAAGAGGTAAGCAGTTTGATTTTTCTGTTAGGAATAAAAATTTGAAGGACTGAAGTGAAACTTCCAGTTTGCACTTGTTTCTGTTGGGAACGCAGCATTTTGTGTTAACTTTTACTCCTATTCAATCCCTCTTCAGTTAATTTTTGACCCCCAAATTACTATGCATTCATTAGATGGGAAATTTTGCAGTGTCAAAGGTGTAGTTGATTGAGGACTCTGGTTATTTGGGTTGTAGCCAGCTAACCAAAGCTTTATCACTTTTTGTAAGAGTTAAGAAGGTTTTTCTTCTCTGTCATTCGCATTAATCTGTCTTGGTGTACAGTTCTCTTGGTTCACTTAAACTCTTAACTCCAGTGTTTCATTTATATCCATTATTTAATTGTATGCTTAATGTATATTTCCTTACCTTTAAATTCTGTCCAAGTTGTATGTCTTTTTTTTTTTTTTTTTTTTTTTTTTAAGTTGCATGTCTTATATTTGAGGGCTAGGAAGGGAATTTATCTCAGTGACAAAAATCTGATAGATCTATCTTGATTTAAATCATACCTGACTTAGATCCTTAAAACAGGACTGTCTCACGGAGAAGTGGAAATCTCTATTAATGACCACTTCTCCATTTAACAGACTTAAAAAATAAAAGAATTATTCATAGAAAAATGATCCTGAGCAATTTTGAGATCCAGAGGTACCTTCAGAATCATCTGTTTAAATTTACTTATATATACTATTGTTAATACTATTATTTTTAAATGCCTTTTAAATTCTTTAAAGTGATGATGCCACATTACAGAAAAGTTGAAAGTGAAAAGAATATACAGAATTCTGTGGTCTTCATTCAACAACTATGATCATTTTATTATTCTCTTTTCATGCATTTTTTATACTTATAATTTGTAATCTATGTACAATTTTATGTCCTATCCTATTTTTAAAATTATATACCATTATACATATTTCTGTTGATGAATTACTTTCATGCTTCTTTCTTTTCAATTTTAATAGTTGTATAATATCCCATAAAATAACTGTACTACAATTTACTAAATGTTAGACACTTATGTAATTTCACTGTTGTCAAGACTTCGTGATATTTTTTTGAGGGTCCGGCATTTTCTGTGTGTGGGTTTATTTATTCTTCCTGTTTCTCTTACCTGGACTAGATTCATGGAAGTAAACTCTTGAGAAAGAAGTATGTATATGCTTTTATGTTATAAAACCAAAAAGCCCTTTGACTAATATTATATACAGTACATGTATTTCCAAAGAGGAAATGGTGAACATTTATGGTGACACTAACAGTTTTGGAGAGGAACAGGTTAATGTACTTGGCTAACATTGAGTCACTACTACCGTGTTTCCCTGAAAATAAGACCTAGCGCATGAAAAGATAAGACATCCCTTGAAAATAAGACCTAGCACAACTTTGGGAGAAAAAATTAATATAAGACACTGTCTTATTTTCGGGGAAACAGGGTAGTATTTTTTGAAGGGTGCTAATTTAGTAAATAATGTTTTCTTTTGCATTTCTTTGATTATTAGTGATTGGACAAGTTTACTTATAATCATAGCTATCACTTTGTAAATTCTCTAGCTGTGTCTTTTGCCTGTCCCTTTGTTTAGACAGTATGTTATTCTAGGTGTTTCTTAGTGTGGATAGAAATGTCTCATATGAAATTACCTTAGAACCTTGTACCATTTACTTTGTTTGCATCAGTGTTGTATCAGATCCAATATACTTAATTGCTTTCTAACTGAACTTGGTAAGTTGTGTATAGTATGATGACACTCTATCAGACAGAATTTATGAACTTTCTATTCAGCCTAATAATGAGCTTCACTGGAATTATGAGTGATCTTTAAAATGATAGTAATGAAATGCTATTTTTTGGTGCTACTTTGAGTTATTAAATTTTGGTGGCAGTCATTTTATTAATAGAAATTTGAAAGCTCTATCTTTAGATTTGCACTTGCTTAATGATTTTATATCTCATACTTCTAATTTACTAAATTTTATATTTTTGAGATAAAATTTCTTGTTTAATAAAATATGATTTTTAATAGGCTATTAGACAAATGTCTGGGAAATGTAATGTACCAACCAGCTTTTTAGTGTGATTTTATTCAAGAATGTTGTTGTGAGCGTGTTGGTGTTTCTTTCCAGTGAGAAGCAGCTGGAATGTTTGCTGACACACTGCATTAAGGTGCCAATGCTTGTCCTGGACCCAGCCCTGCCAGCCAACATCACACTGAAGGACCTGCCATCTCTTTACCCTTCTTTTCATCTTGCCAGCGATATATTTAATGTTGCAAAACCAAAAAACCCTTCGACTAACGTTTCAGTTGTTGTTTTTGATAGTACTAAGAATGGTAAGATCTTATTGTGGGTGTTTCAGTCATGTTATCATTGGATGTTTGAATTTAACAATTCTGAGTAGAGCAGAAATGATGCAATTTTAAAGAAATTCAATTTTTGTGTTCGCTTTGATGAGCACTATTTATTCAATATAAATAACCTAGGTTTTTCTATTGTTATATTTTAAATATATAGGAAAAGTAAAGGGGTAATCTTTGACAAATTATAGTAAGTTATCTGATTTATTATTTGGATAAAGTTAGCTTTGTTTTTTTTTTTTAAATGAAGATGTCCTTCAATTAAGGTACTCTGAAAACAATTCATCTGAAGGAAAAAAAACAAAAACAATGACATTATGTTAACAATTATAGCTCAGTTGTAACATCTATGGAGAGAATCTTGGATTTTTCTCTACTAATTTTATAGCATAGCAAAGACTTGGATTTTGATTAGCAAAATATGCATTAATCTGTAGTCTTCTAGAAGGTGCTTTTTGAATTCCCACTTGGGTTTCTATTTGACTGCTCTACTTATTATATCATTCATTCAGTAAAGGTTCGTTGAGCCACTGCTCTGAGTTGGTTGATGTTCTGGGTACTAGGGATAGAGCAGAGAACAAAAAAAACACATTCTGCCTTCGTGGCGCTTACATTTATAGTGGGACATAGGCTCACTCTTTTTTTACATTTAATTTTATTGTTTAAAGCATTACATATATTAGTACATATATCTCTTCCCCCCCCCCTCATTGACCTTCCCCCAGCCTTCCCTACTCCCTGTCACATCATCCATCTTCAGTTATCGAAGTCAGTGATGGCAGATCCTTTCCCAAAGGGCCAGAGACAAAAAAGAAAATAAAGGGGGGAGGGGGTTTGAACAAAGCGAAAATGATCAATATTGTATAGGTAGTGTAGTTATATAAGAATGTATCATTTAACCTTTAAAAAATATAAGCTATTCAGCATTCCCTCAGTAGTGACTCTTGAGCCCTAGGATCTACAGTGGGTCCCTACTGCTAGTTTAAATGCCTCTGGCCTAGCTTCCAGAAGCTCCCTTCTGTTTGCTCCTCCAGCTGTGATTTCTGTCAAATTGTCATCTCCATGTCTTTGCTGCCTACACAATCTCTCCTTTTGGATTGCAAAATTTAACATTAATTACACACTACATTATATCATTCCACTTTGGTTGGATGGGTTTTGTCTCCCTTAACTACCTTTTTTTAAATGTATAATACCATTTTAACTGCTCTCAAAATGCTTTGTGCAGTGTCCTGTCAGATGTTATAGTTAAGTATTCATTAAAAATTGGCTTGCTTGTTGTATTCTTTATTGTAGTTGAAGATGCCCATGCTGAAACCTTTAAAGGAAATAGCAAACAGACAGTTTGGAGGGGCTATTTGGTATGTTATTTTAAATTAATTTTGTTCTTGCAGTAGACTAGAATGCAAGTATGAGTGGTAACGCTGGTTTACTTTGAGAGACTTTTTAATGTTTACTTTTCCTCTAAGGCTAGCTTGTTAGTATTAATGAATGTTGATCTAAGTCATCTTAATTCTGATTTTGAAGCTTGTATGAATAGATCTTTGCTGGTTTTCTCAGCTGTAAGATTTCACCAGCCTTGTGATGTGGAAAGTGACTTGTATTTTTCCTCCTCTCATTTAGACCACAGATAAAGAAGTCCCTGGCCTGGTGCTATTGCAAGATTTGGCTTTCCTGAGTGGGTTTCCACTGACCTTCAAGGAGACTAATCAACTAAAAGCAAAATTGCCAGAAAATCTTTCTTCTAAAATAAAACTGGTAAGAACCTAGACAATAGAGCATCCAGTACAAACGTCTCATTTAATGCATGATTCTTCTCATGCGGTCCATTTCTTTCACAGGAGAGCGGGCAATCATAAGAAACAAAGTGGGTCTCTATTTTGCCTATGGAGACAGCCTTGGTTTATAGGAGATCATCACTCCTTACTCTTCATTTGGGTAAAACCTTAAGGGTCTTATTTTGTTGCAGGTTTCTCAGAAGCAGGATCATTTATTTAACCAGGGAGCTTCCACTATGTGTCAGGCGCTGTTACTCAGAGGGAGTGTGCTTCAGATATTTGGAACATTTGATAATGTGAAACCTCCCTTCATTAATAGCTAATTGAACCATTAACATATTTAGGATTTATATTTATTAACTCCTCATGCTTGACCAGTGATGCTATTTGTTAGAATTGACTATGGAGGCTGCCCTGTGACATGCCTTTTCTGTCACATTTACAGTGAAGTCAGTTCTCCAACTTAATTCTTTTTGGAAAGCTGTTGGAGAAGCGATTTCTTCAAAAACAGAATCCTTTTTCCCCATTATAAATAATGTAAATTGAATTAATCCGTTCCAGATCCAAAAATGATTCCCCTTTTAACCTCGCTCATATACGGTACATGTCTAATGTACGGTTTAATCTATAAACACTTCTTTTCCTAAATTTATCCAACCACCGAATCACCTTTAGCATTCTGTCTAGGTCTAGGAATGTCTTTCAGGTCAGCATGCAGCATCCTAACTTATTCATATACTAGTATCACTGTCTTGGAAATGGCTGTCTCTGGCCAACTGCTCTTCTTTTATTCAAATTGAACATGTTTTTCTACCTCTTCTGTGATCATTGCTTCTTTCACACCCTTAGCAACATTAGCACCTTGATGGCCTCTTTATGTTTTAAAATTGTGCTAATCACCAGCAAGGAAAGCACTCTCTCCTTTGTTCATTGCCTGAGAGATGCTTTTTGTCAAGCTGAGGTGTCAGGTTGAGTGGGGTGTCAGTTTGAAAACGGAAGTTCGGTTTAGACATTTTTTTCTGTGAACCACTTGGTGGAGAATTGAATTGTTGGAGAAACAAAGTTTGTATTGTTTTCAGAGCCAATTGCCTTGTTGATTTAGGGCGCAGTTTCCGTGGGTATACCTTCCATTTGACCTTATGTCGGGATGCCTGCCATCAGTCAAAAGCCTTCCAGGTTGTAAAACATGGATGTCTTTTCTCTTAAAAGAGAGGGCGTAAGGTTCTTGGCTCAGAATTTGTTAGGCCCTCGTTTTCTTGATATTACTGAGAAGTGTTAAATCCTGCCACTGTGTTTAGCTTTCTCATTCTTACTTCTTGTTCCTGTTGATGTCATTGAACAATTGGGAGGTGAAGGATGGACCTGGAGGTGGTGGGGAGAGCTGTAAGTGGGGGGTTCTTACTGTAGTACTTGTTTTGAACATGTTTTTCATATTTTTTCCCCAGCTTGTTTCTTTTTTTTTTTTTTTTTAATATATTTTATTGATTTTGTACAGAGAAGAAGGGAAAGAGATAGTTAGAAACATCGACGAGAGAGAGTCATTGATAAGCTGCCTCTTGCACACCCACCACTGGGGATATGCCCGCAACCAAGGTACATGCCCTTGACCGGAATCGAACTCGGGACCTTTCAGTCCCCAAGCCGACGCTCTATCCACCAAGCCAAACCGGTTTTGGCCCCAGCTTATTTCTTTTTCCCATGTGTTTCACTCTTTTAAGATACATTGTACAATTTTTGTAAATAATGATAACATGAATGACATTTATATGTTTTTGTGTGTGTTTTTTTCATATTTTCCTCCATTACTTTTTTAATGGTACTTGGAAATATGGTAGAGCCCAGCTAGATTAGGGTTGAATTCTTTCTTAATCTGCAGTTCTTTTAAAAGATATATTACATTCCTCTTTCCCCTGAACTATTTTTGCTATTGATTTGGGTAGATAAAACCATACATTAACGTCGATTTCAGCCATGTTTATTTGGCTTCTTGGCTTCCTAGCTATTGGTTCTAGAGTTACAGAAACATTATATCTGCACTTTTTAAAAAAATCCTCACCTGAGGATTTGTTCCCCCTTTGATATTCAGTGAGTGGGAATAAGACTGGAGGAACGGGAGAGAGAGAAACATTGATGTGAGAGAGACACATTGTTCGCTTGCCTCCTGCACACACCCTGACGGAGGCCAGGAATCTAACCTGCAAACCTGCTACTCGCCTTTGCCTATTATCGAACCTGAGACCCTTTGGTGCATGGGCTGACACTCTAACCATTGACCCATACCAGCCAGGGCAGAAGGACACCTTTCGAAGAAACACAGCAGGAAAAGGTGTAGCAGTTAGGGATTAGACAAGATGATGTTGGAGGTAGGAAAACCAGTTTAGCCACTGCTGCCTGAGCCCAACAAGACATTTGGGTTCACGTTCCCCTAGGGATCCCAGATTGCAAGAGGGCACAAGCCAGGCCAAGGGACGCCACCAGTGCACGATGGGGGGCAAGGAGGGTCTCGGGAGGTTGGCCAGCCAGGGAAGGACTGTGGGAGGGCTCCAGGGCATGTCTGAACTGTCTTACTCAGTCCCAATGGACTGGACCCCAGCAGCAACCTAACCTACCAGTTGGAGCGCCTGCTCCCTGGTGGTCAGTGCATGACATAGTGAGCAGTTGAGCTGCCTTAGCATATCATTAGCCTATTACACTTTGATTGGTTGAACAGCTGACAGGACGACCAGGCGCTATATAGATTTTATTATATAGGATATTTATAATGGAAAAAATTAAAGGGTTATATCAGGCATTTTGCAGGATGGATTAAAGAGAGTTGTTTCTAATTTGGAGAAGAGGAAGATAGTGTTAAGTAATAGCACTGGAAACCAATAAAGTGTTATTGGTATATAAAAAAAAAGCATTTGGGTTCAGTAAGTGCCTTGTCAGTGGTGCAAGGGTGAGAAACATTAGAGAGAGCCCTTCAGCATGACCTGGTGACTTACTAGCTGGGAAAGAGGGAAGGAAAAATGAAAGGGGAAGTGGGTGCCTCTAGAGAAGATGGGAGTGATGGCATTAGCCGCACTCAGAGCTTCCGTGGGAGAAGCGAGCTTTTTCAGGAAGGAAACTCTGAGCTCAGCATGGGCGATGTTTCCTTAGAGGAGCTTTGTGGCCTGTGGGAGGAAGGGCCGTTAGGCATGGGCTCCAGGGCCTCGACAGCTGAGCCATTTTGTCCTCTCAGTTCCTCCAGGAGGCCTTGCCATCTAGAGCTCTCTTCTGCCCCAGACCCTTCAGTGACACTGCCTGTTCACCTTTGTACCCCTAGTGATTATCTTGGGGCCTGGCATTGAGGGGCCACTCAAGAAATGCTTGTTGGAGAGTGAGCAAGAAGAAAGGCTATGACTGTAAACCCACACATCAGATACACTGTCTTAGACCACAAAGGGAAACAGTTCAGCCAGTGTGATTATCCATAGGCCTCACTAGGTTTATGGTACCACGGCTGTATTCATACAACATTACTTTGCCTTTATTATTCTGGTTAGAGCACAGCCAGAATCTGTACCCCTGCACCCTCTGGAGGGGAGGTGGGACTTGAGGAAAATGGTTTCTTTTTACTAGGTAATAGATTTGACTTCATAAAAACTTTACTGTACTACAGTCTTATGAAACCAATCTTTTCTATTAAAGACTTTCTCTAGTTTGAGATACCTTAAGGTGAATTGTTGTAAAATCTGTAGAATTTTTGTATGTGCTGGACACAGAATTCACCCTTTGAGAAACTAGATTGTCTATTGGTCTCTATTTTCAGGTCACTTGTTCTAAATCCTCCTGCATTTTTAGACATTTTTCATTTATGGTGGGTTTTTGCTTGTTTTTATTTTTATTTTTGTTCTTGTTCACTTCTTTAACATATGTTAGAGCAGGTGAAATATCTCCCGAAAGCTCTCAAGTGCAGTCTCACATTTGGTTCAATCCCATGATAATGGTTGCTGGGTGAGTGTGTGCAGAAGCAGTGGAGGACGTGGGTCTGTCCTCACGCTATTTGTAATCTCTTTTGGGAGGCAGTATGTTTGTATAGTAAATGTTCAAGTAGCAAAACAAGACAGTAGAGGATTAGATACAGAGTAGTCTTAAGTTGAGGTCTAGAGACAGGAGAGTCTGTGGATCAGAGACATGGGGGAAATTTTCAAAGAGAAAGGCTGCCCCAGGATATTTGAAGACTGACCAAGTTGCATGGTTCAGCAGGAAGGACAGTGCAAACAACATATTGTCCTGCCTGGACCTCTGTTCAAGGCATGTTCAAGGTCACGGGGTATTGTAGGAATATTGTATTCATGCCCCTTCTTTTAGTGACTTCCCTTCAATTGGTTATGACTTCATTTGGTTATGCACCTGTTCTCTTAAAGCACAATACCCTTTCTTTTGGTTTTATTCCTAAAATAAAGACATAAACAGATTAAACAAGCAGTTCTGGAACTGATTTAAGTTTTAGACAACCACCAGCACATATTAAGACGTAGTTGGTTTGAGTTGTCGGATCACTAGAAGGAGCTAATTTGTTTTTTCAGTTTTATTAGGTGGTATGTTTTTTTCTCTAACCATATACTATCTCATATATGGATGTATTAAGTACAAGTTCCCTTTTTTTTAAAAATATACTTTTTTTTAATTGATTTCAGAGAGGGAAAGAAGGAAGAGTGAGATATAAACATCAATGATGAGCTAGAATCAGAGAATCATTAATCGGCTACCTCTCACACTGGGGATCGAGCCCATAACAGGGCATGTGCCCTTGACTGGAATTGAACCTGGGATCCTTCAGTCCTCAGGCCAATGCTCTATTTACTGAGCCATATCAGCCAGGGGAAGCACATCATTCTTGAAAATGCCACAAATGTAACAAACATATGGAAATGTCAGTGACTTAAAGATAGCACGGTTTATCTCTCAGTCATACTAACTTGACCCTTGTGGGTCTGCAGGAGGTAGATGTCCAGTTGTTCTCTTTGAAAAACTTATGATTTAAAGAATTTAGATAAACCTACAATTTCAAGTAAGAAGCTACATATGGAAGCAGTTATCCAAGCTGAGAATTCCAGCCTTTGGCACTCACTACAACCACGCTTCAGTACCCCTCCTGTCTCTTCCAGGAAAGTAATTACAGAGTCCAGGACTGGAGAGCCACCTAGTGGCTAGCCCAGGATACTCTCTTCCCACCTTTTTTCACTACTCAAAACCTGGTTGCAGTGGCAGAAATTCTTTTTCATACACAAATATTCCCTTATTTTTTTTACTTTTCATCTCTTTCCAAGTATTGTGTAGTTACCTTAGGCAACTGTCTGTGAAATTTCAAAATAGTTTTTCAGAATAAAAATAGTTTGGAAGAAGAGATTAAGGTAAGGATATTTTCCCAGTAATTTAAAATTAAATTAGTGTATGATAACACTATATTGATTTATTCTAAAGTAGTGGTTTTTATACTCCAGGGAGCCCATAGAGGTGCTGTGGGAACAACGGAAGCCTGGGGTGGAGAGTGAGGCTCTGTAGGTTCCCAGGTAGAAGAGTATTCACCCAGAGGCAGGATGGTGACAGCAGTGAGAGCTGACCTTCATTCAGTGAGTGCTTAGTGTATGCCGGGCACTGCCAAGGTGAAAGAACAAATCAGTTAGGAAGACATTTCACGTGCAAGCATTTCTGATAAGAGTGAATGGCCCACGTAATAAAAAGGGGAAAAGAGAAAATTCTAACTTTTAGTTTTGGGGCCTACGTAAACTCAGGAACCTCTGAAAGATAAGCTAAATATAGTCATGTTACAAATACAAGAGCTTAATCTGAGGCCATAGTAATTTGTGTTTGCTTCTGGTTTGTAAATTTAAAACAAAGCCCGGGCTTTGTTTAGAAGAGTCACTTAGGCAGAAGGATTTTTTTTTGCTGTCCTCAGTTAGTGGTTTTCAATCCTCTTCCTGGCTTTTTAAGCTCTGAAAGGCCATTTTCATGGGGAATTGTATTATAAGCTTAGAACATAAACATCAAAGGTGTTACGGACTTGCATAGAGGTGGGGAAGCCTGTTTATAAAATGTGTTAAGCTGTTGCCCGTTTTGCTCAATGGTTAGAGCATGGGCCCATGGACTGAAGGGTCAGGATTGTATTCCTGGTCAAGGGCATTTACTTGGGTTGCAGGCCCAATCATGGCTCAGGTCAGGGCGTATACAGGAAGCAACCTGTCAAGGTGTCTCTCACATTGATATCAAAAAACGTGTTGATGCTTATGATGTTCCTTTAGATTTAGATTCCTTCTAACACTTTGCCCCCAAACGTGCTTTTGGAAGCACGTCAGTCAGCTCTGCCGAAGACACTCATTCATCTTATGTGTGGGCACAAAAGCCATCCCGACGCCCCGCTAGCAGACATGTTCCCTGCCAATTAGAGTGAGGTTACACTGCAGGGCTTGCCCCCAGAGTAAGCAGAACACAGAGTATTTTAGAACACAGGTCATAAACTGGTGACCAGTGCTGTGTTGGGATATATGACAATCAAAAACTTCTGAGCCAGCATTGAAAATTGGGAAATTCCTATTGAATGTCAACTGTAATTAAACATTTTTAAATAATTTTAAAAAAAGAGATTAGGAGATTTCCTGGCCTCTCAGATCTGGCAGCACTGGGGTGGCACTGAGTAGTGGCTGCAGCTTTCAGATGGGGCCTGAGATGTCTCTTTGGCCGGAGCCCTGCCACTCCCTCTGGTTCTTAATTCCTGGCCCATTCCATTCATTTGGGAAAAGCATCTGGCCTGTTTAGGTTTCCTCCCCATCTTCCTCCTCCTCTTCCTCCTTCTTCTTCTTCCCTCCTCCTCCTCCTCCTCCTTTGATATTAGTTTGCTATTTCATATATATATATATATATATATATATGAAACTTTTAATCTTTAAATATGTATAATACATATGTTTTTTATGTATATTTAAAGTTTAAAGATCAAAATGGGAATTTCAAGGTGTCTCTTCATTAGAGCTCAGTTTTTCCACCAGTAACCCTGTTGTCATTTTATAGTTGCACCTGTACTCAGAGGCCAGTGTAGCACTCCTGAAATTGAACAACCCCAAAGACTTCCAAGAACTGAATAAGCAGACTAAGAAGAACATGACCATTGATGGGAAAGAACTGACCATAAGTCCTGCGTATTTATTATGGGATCTGAGTGCCATCAGCCAGGTAAGGGATGCAAATATCCTTTCAAAGCCCGAGTCTGTTTATGTTGTTAAAGATTTATAAGTCGCTGTGTTAGAAGAAGGAAAAGGACTTGAGTTGACTGGGACTTTTCTAATAGTCCAGTCCCTGCCATTGGTTAATATTACCTGAAGTGACCAAGAATCAGATCTAAGAACCTTTTCTAAAAAAGTGTGTTCAAGAAATGCTGTGTATCTGTGTTGTTGTTGTCACTGAGCTGAGTCTTTTGCAGTTTTTGTAATGTTTCAAAGTAAGATTGGGTCTTTAAAAGTCTGCCAGAGCTCGCTGAGAGCAGAGAGGCCCAGGGAGACACAGGGGGAGGTGTGGCTTCAAGCACCAGGCGTTTTTCCCAGTCCAAGCAGGATGAAGACGTTTCTGCCAGCCGTTTTGAAGATAATGAAGAACTGAGATACTCACTGCGATCCATCGAGAGGCACGCGCCGTGGGTTCGGAATATTTTCATAGTCACCAATGGGCAGATTCCGTCCTGGCTGAACCTTGATAATCCTCGAGTGACCATAGTAACACACCAGGCATGTGGCTTTCCGTGTATCACGAGACTGTGGTTTTCTGTTCGTCTTTTCTGTTCTTTTACTTTTCCCTGATTTCATTCCCTTCACCCTCCTCACCTCCATTTCCACCTTCCTTTAATTCTTCCATTTGCCTGCCTTCCTTCCAAAACCAAAAAAAGAAAAGAAAAATCCCTCTCATTCACCCTTTTTCTAACTTATATTTTTCTGTTCAAAGGATGTTTTTCGGAATTTGAGCCACTTGCCTACCTTTAGTTCACCAGCTATTGAAAGTCACATTCATCGCATCGAAGGGCTGTCCCAGAAATTCATTTACCTGAATGACGATGTCATGTTTGGGAAGGACGTGTGGCCAGATGATTTTTATAGTCACTCCAAAGGTCAAAAGGTGGGTACCTAAGAGGAGGGGTTCCTGGCTCTGAGGTCACGTGGGAGTTATTAATGGGAAGTCAGGAATCAATATGTGTACAACTGTGTTCAGATTTGATCAAATAAGCATCTGATCAGGAGAGTTAACAAATTGGGAGACAGAAAACTACTTAATGATTTTTAAGTCACTATATTAGAAGAAGGAAGAGGACTCGAGTTGATTGGAACTTTTAATTGATTGGTAGTTTTTCTCTTGCCTACATTTTCAGACACCCAGAACCCACTCTTGTGTTGTTTAATACAACAAAAACAGAAAAGGCAAAATCACTGTGAAATACAAAATCATGGTTACAGCATCAGCAAAGTGACCAATACAGAAAATTAGCTCAATTTTCTGCTTAAACGGTGGGTGAAATTTCATCGAGACTGGTCTCACTTTGGCTTTGAGAGGCAGCATGGAGAAGCACAGACCAGGAGCCTGCTATTTAGGATGATCCTCGGCAATGACCTGACCTTGATGTTTCCTGGGGAAATAGGAATACCGGGTAGTTGTTAAAAGGAGTCATCGATAAGCTGGAGACTTATCACCATAAGCTTGTGATGAACTCTGCAACTGTAAGGCTAAATCACGAAGCTGCTTTTCCTGTTGCTGTTTGTGTCCAGTGTGCTCACTGCCCTGTGCCCCTGCTCAGTGGCCTCCCCTGTGTTAGCTTGTATGGCTGCGTAGTTGAGCTATGGCTTGACAGGGAAGACACATAAATCAGTGCCTCCACGTAGCGATTTCCATGCTGGCAGGTGTGCCCTGCTGCTAAACAGTGGGCGCAAGGGAGGGTGAAATCAGACAGGAACAGGGAAGGATGCCTAGCTGAGTTGAGATGAACTTTGAAGAACAAGTGGGAGCTCACTAGATTCCTAAAAGATGGAATGTGCAAAGGCATGCAGACTGTCAAAGGAGGGCATGTTTTTGTAATGATTTTAGTATGAGAAGTCACCATGTACCATGTCACTCATTGTGAAAGCAGGGGGTTCATAGCTCAGATCACTGGGCTGGTTAGTTTGTCATAAAACATATGCTGGCAGTGGATGATGTGTAGAGTTCATCTGCTTTTTCTCAGCCACGATGCAAGTACAAATACACTCAGGAGCTAGTGACGGTTGTCACGGAAAAGCAGTGACTCGTGTGGGATACATTCCACCTACTGTGGCATGCATTTGTACTCCCAGTTAAGTCTGACCTGTTGCTATTTTTAAAAAATATTGATTTTTATTTTTACAGAGAGGAAGGGAGAGGGATAGAGAATTAGAAACATCGATCAGCTGCCTCCTGCACATCCCCTACTGGGGATGTGCCGCAATCAAGGTACATGCCCTTGACCGGAATCGAACCTGGAACCTTTCAGTCCGCAGGCCAATGCTCTATCCTCTGAGTCAAACCAGCTAGGGCCTGACCTGTTGCTATTTTCTTTCAAAATATAAGACCACGGTATGAGAAATTGATCTGTGAGCTGAGTCCTTATCTGCTTTCCTCGTGTAATGAACAGAGTAAATGTGCTCAGTCAGTATCATCAGAAGAGCAGAACTGGGGAAATGCCTTCCGGTGCAGGCAAACTTAAAGCAAAATGCCCCCCATGAATGCAGTCAGCCATGGATAATATTAACCTTTTTCCAGAGGCTCAGGTTTGTTTTAAGGAATTCTAATTTGAGAAGGAACACTGTCGGAAACTGTTTCATATTCTCTCTGGTTTTGCCATAGGTTTATCTGACATGGCCTGTGCCCAACTGTGCTGAGGGCTGCCCAGGCTCCTGGATTAAAGATGGCTATTGTGACAAGGCTTGCAACAACTCGGCCTGCGATTGGGATGGGGGGGATTGCTCTGGTAAGGATGCCTTCAAGGGTAATTCACTTCTGTTCTTGGAAGTTTCTCATTCCTAATCATTACTGCACTCATTCCTAATCATCATTGCACCATGAATTAAACATTTTTATATATTAAAATAACCAATAATCCGTAGACTCTTTGGAGGTGATGACAAGTGTCCTGCTGTGGCCCAGTTTATTCATATTATCCGTTATTGGGGGCATTTTCCCACATGGGCGCTGCACTTGCACAGGCCTTTTTTTATTATTGAAAATATGAAAACAGGGACTGCCTTTAATTATATACGTTCAAGAGCAAGGACAGCTCTAACTGGTTCTCGTAGGAGCTCCTGGCTGGTGGCTTCCAGCAGCATTTGTCTTAGGTCGGTGAATGAAAAAGAGATCAATGAGATAAATGTCTTTTCTCCTCAGCATCTCTTCTTTTCTTAGACGCTTATATTATCGCCCTTCAGTGTACAAAATGTGTAAACTTATGAAGCATTCTTCACCTTAATTTCTTAAGTCACTTAGGAAAGAGAGCTTGTATGCACAGATGGCACCCCCGTATTCCCTGTGAGGAAAGAGATTTGGAAGTGTTAAGTACGGGAGGAAACAAAACCTCAAGTTGTGTTTCACTCAGATCTGTCAGAGGCACTTCTGAGAAATATGGCCAGCTGCAGGGAGAGAACACAGGCGTGCAGATCTGTGGAGCCCAGAGAACTCAGCCCCTGATAAGACATTGACACTTGACAATGAGGGCAGCACTTGCATTAGGGTATGTTTGGGCAGTTCTGACAGTCAGTGTTTGGAAAACCTCTCCCTGTTCTCCTGCTCCTCCATCCACATCCATAGGTGCCCCTTGGAGACGGTTTGAGGTCCTTCCAGGTGGCACAGCTAACAGGTGCCCTGCCCACTGCCAGGTGATGTCCCCTTTTAAGTTTCTTCTTCTTAGCTACATGAACTGAGGGAAGAATGAACCCTTCCTGACTAAGACTCATGCAATCTTGAAAACGCTGTGAAGGAATAAGGAGCTTTTTCACCGTTGTAAAAACTGCAAGATTCTGTTTTCCTCCTCCCTCTGTAGGTAACAGTGGAGGGAGTCGCTATGGTGCCGGAGCCGGGGGAACCGGGAGCTTGGGAGCTGTCCAGCCCTGGCACTTCGGTGGAGGAATAAATAGTGTCTCTTACTGTAATCAAGGGTGTGCAAACTCCTGGCTCGCTGATAAGTTCTGTGACCAGGCCTGCAACGTCTTGTCCTGTGGGTTTGATGCTGGCGACTGTGGGCAAGGTATATATATTGTCATAGTAATCTATTGAAAAAGAATAAGGGGATAAAAACCCTTGAGCATTAGAGTGCATTTCAGCTCGTTGTTATTTAAAGTCATTATTCTCTGTGTAACCTATTCTCAGCCTTGCATTCATACTAGTTGTAAGTTAAAAGTAAGAGGACACAGATCTTCAAAGAACGGGAAATACTAAGGCTTCATCTTTTCCTGTATTATTCCAGTGTCTTGTCTTTTTTACTAAGCTAATTTCCCTTAGTTGAAAATATATGGTGATGGCCTAATTTGGAAATAATAAAAGACATGTATTAAAGAAAGATAGTTTTACTAGATCTTGTTGATAGCTTATTACTGGAGGTTGTTTTAGCAGACAGTTGTATTTTTTCACATGGACAATAGATGGAAGTCGATCATTGGAACTCGTTGTCAGACTCAGAAGTATTCCATATCGATGACTGGAAAGGAACCCTATATCAGTAGCTCCTGTGTTTGAATTTCTGATTATTTTAAAGTCTATTTAGAGTCACTGTTAGAAAGTAAAAACTGAAACCCTAAGAATTAAAGGGGGAAAGGGGAAATGGTTAGCTTTTAAAAAGTAACTTTTGTGTTTTCTCCTCTAGATCATTTTCATGAATTATATAAAGTAACTCTTCTCCCAAACCAGACTCACTATGTTATCCCAAAAGGTGAATGCCTGCCTTATTTCAGCTTTGCAGAAATAGCCAAAAGGGGAGTCGAAGGTGCCTACAGTGACAACCCCATAATTCGACACGCTTCCATAGCCAATAAGTGGAAAACCATCCACCTCATAATGCACAGTGGAATGAATGCAACTACAATACATTTTAATCTCACACTTCAAAGTAGGGATGACAAGGAGTTCAAAATCCAGATCTCAGTCGAGGTTGACACAAGAGAAGTACCCAAACTCAACTCTACCACCCAGAGGTCTTACCAGACATTGGTTAGCCCCATAACACCTCTTCCAGAGGTGGAGATCCCATTTGAGGATATTCCTGAAGAAAAACGCTTCCCAAAGTTCAAGAGACACGATGCTAACACAACAGGGAGATGGCAGGAGGGGGTGAAAATTCCCCTGGTCAATATTTCGCTCCTCCCCAAAGAGGCCCAGTTGCGTCTCGCTAACTTGGATTTGCAACTAGAACGGGGAGATATCACTCTGAAGGGATACAACCTATCCAAGTCAGCCTTGCTGACATCGTTTCTGATGAACTCCCACGATGCTAACGTAAACATAAACCAGGCTGTCATCCCAGAGGAAAGAAACGAGAGCGTGGCGGCCCCACTGGCGCAGCAAGTTCGCAGAAGCTCCGGGCCAGACAGCTTAGGAGCACCGGAGGGATTACCGAGGTCGACTTTTCCAGCAGAGACGATAAAAGCTAATGGCCGTTACCAGCGTCAGACTCCACCCCGGGACTTGGAAACCCAAGCAACCTTTCCATCTGAAAGTCAGACCCAGAGATTGGGAGGTGGAAGTGTGTCCAGAGGAAAGCTCTCCTCTCTGATTGTTCCACAGAAAAACCAGGTGCCCAGAGAAAAGCCAAGCACAGGGAAAGAACAGGAGGAAAACAGGATGGACGACCATGCTGAAAGTCACATAGGTGTGAATGAAGTACTGCCCGGAAGAAAGCTGCAGCATTATACTGACACTTACCCCGGCTTTTTACCCTGGGAGAAAAAAAAGTATTTCCAAGATCTTCTTGATGTAAGTTACATCTAGCCTTCTTTCGTCCCATGCTCAGGAAGAGTAAATAACCTTGTAAGTGATGATAATATAACAGTAGCTACCAATTATTCAGCACTTCCCTGTGCCAGCCACTGAATTAAATGCTTTTTCTTACATGATTTCATTTAATTATCTCAGTGACCCTAACTGACAGGTGTCTGTCTCCGTTGAGGTGTGGGTAAGGAGGCCAAAGGGAAAACTCCCTAACTTTGCCTGGAAGTGTCAGGGAAGGCATCCTTGAGGAAGTATCCTGGGAGTTGATTTGTGAAGGGGGGAGGGGTGTGTGTCAGCATTGATAGACCAAGAAAAATCCTGTGGTTGAGGCCGGACTGTGAACAAAGCACAGCCCTGAGTGATGTCAGGCTGGAAGAAAGGAGGATGGAGAGGGAATTCCTTTCATTCTATTCAGGAAGTACCTTGTAGTAGTAGACATTGGCTGATTGTTGAGTGTGGACTGCAGAGTTCTTGTTTAGGTTTATTTCCTCACTTTTTTCACACACACACACCCCACACCACACACACACACACACACACACACACACACACACACCCCTTCACCACACAACTCTTGTTCTCAAGCCAATGCCGGTGATACTTTCTCTGAAATCCAGTTTAGTCCCGCTCTTAGAATCCTCATGTCATTTGCTCCTCATGGATCGTTAGTGACTAGTTACTACATTATATAAAATGGTACCTTTATCTCTTGTTGACCAAGTATGCTTTTGCACTAAACCTGATGCTGTATTACGTGGAATTCTCTTTTTAGGAAGAAGAGTCGTTGAAGACACAGCTGGCATACTTAACTGACAGCAAACATATTGGGAGGCAACTAAAAGATACATTTGCAGATTCCCTCCGATATGTAAATAAAATTCTAAACAGCAAGTTCGGATTCACATCTAGGAAAGTCCCTGCACACATGCCTCACATGATCGACCGAATAGTCATGCAGGAACTGCAGGACATGTAAGTCTGGCTTGGGTTTGGGTCGCTTGCATGTGCTCAGAGCCACAGCTGCTGGAAATTAACATCTTTATCCTTTGCAGCAGCATGGATGGACCGGAGAGCATTATACTAAGTGAAATAAGCCAGTCAGAGAAAGACAAGTCCCATATGTGGAATCTAATGAACAAAATAAATTAACAAAATAGAAACAAACTTGTAGATATGGAAAACAGAATGACAGCTGGCAGAGGAGTTTCAGAGCTGGGTGAAAAAGATGAAGGGATTAAGAAAAAGAAGAACCCAACTCGTAGGCACAGACAACAGTATCATGATTTACTAGAGGGAAAGGGGGAACGAGGGTGGTTGAAGAGGGTAAAGGGCAGATAAATGGTGATGGAAGGAGATTTGACTTGGGATGGTGAATACACAATACAATATATAGGTGATGTATTATAGGATTGTACACCTGAAACCTATTCAATTTTATTAACCAATATCACCTCAATAAACTCAATATAAATAAATAAGTAACAAAAAGGGACAAAGAAATTTATATCTGTGCTGTGCTATGTCTATGGCTCTAATGGAAAGGAAAGAGATGCTAACTCTACAAACTTCTTTATATTTTAAATATCCCGAGCTTATTATGTGTTATATTTGTACAGGTTCCCTGAAGAATTTGACAAGACGTCATTTCACAAAGTGCGCCACTCTGAGGATATGCAGTTTGCTTTTTCTTATTTTTACTACCTCATGAGTGCAGTCCAGCCACTGAATATATCTCAAGTTTTCGATGAAGTTGATACTGACCAATCTGGTGTCTTATCTGACAGAGAAATCCGAACACTGGCTACCAGAATTCATGACCTGCCTTTAAGTTTGCAGGTGGTGTATTTTCCCCTTAAACTTTGCAGCAGTTTTAAATGAAACTTAATTTTGATACTTTCTCTTTTCCCTCTACATATTTCAGTGTAATGTAAGTAAGAGTAACTCTTTAACTATATATATATATATATATATATATATATAAAATTGATTTTTTTTTTTTACAGAGAAAGGGAGAGGGATAGAGAGAAACATCATCGATGAGAGAAACATCGATTAGCTGCCTCCTGCACACCCCCTATTGGAGATGTGCTTGCAACCATGGTACATGCTCTTGACTGGAATCGAACCTGGGATCCTCACTTTGCAGGCCAACGCTCTATCCACTGAGCCAAATCACTTAGGGCAAGAGTAATTCTTAATAGTTAATGAGGGTATTCACAACTAGTCCATTTTTAGTGCCAGAACGAAAACCAAATTTGAAGTTCATATTTCTGAGGTTCCTTCTTTTAGGCTTGCAGTGGGGATTGCCATTGTATTGTCTGGAGAAGAGCCAGACCACACCTGCATGTAAGGTTCTGGGAGAAGTTCACTCAGGGGCTTCAGGTGCAGCTGACTGGATATCGGCCAGGCCTGTGGTGCAGCAGCCCCTCTGCCATGGCCTCTCCAGTCCCAAGAGCAGGCGCTCACTGATGGATAGCGCCAAGATGAATCTGACTGCAGGACATCTGTCTGTGATCCCTGGCCCGTCTTGTGTAAATGGTGCCTCCCGGTTCAGGGTGTTTTACTTTGAAACCAAGATGAAATATTCGTGTTTGTATTGTCTCATTCTGCTCTCTTTTCCTTAAGAATCATATAGTCAAACTCTTTTTGAAGGTAGCATTTAAAAAATTTTGGAGACCTTTATGAAGTTTTTTTTTTTTTTTTAATTTAAAGCTACAATCATTAGCTTTACCTAGAATGTTTATCCTTTTATTTTGCTTTGTTAGGATTTAACAGGTCTGGAACACATGTTAATAAATTGCTCAAAAATGCTCCCTGCTAATATCACTCAGCTAAGCAACATTCCACCAACTCAGGAAGCATACTATGACCCCAATCTGGTAAGTGGCATGGGTTCTTTTATGTAAATCAGAAAGTATATCTTTATCCATTTCTGTATGGCATTTCAAAAACTAGAAGCGGACACTGTATATTTATATTTGGTGGAAAGTATTATAATACCAAAGATAATCCAGAATATTTTATATCTTGCCTTGAAATATTTTTTCTTCTCCTTAATGGTTTTTAGCTAATATTAGGATTAGTTGTTTTTATTCTACTAAGAACACAGGCCCGATGCACACAGTTCATGCATGGGTGCGCACCTGCCTTGGCCTGGCACCACCCCTTCACCTGCTCCACCATCCCACTGTGGTCCCACTCTCATCAGGGCCCATTGGAGCTAGTAGCATCTCCACTGCCACCTGCTGCCAGTGCCACATCACCAACGCCCGCCATGTTCTGCGTTCCCCCCTGGTGATCAGCAAACATCATAGCAAGCAGTTGAAAGAGCCGTCCCCCAAATGACAATTTGCATATTAGGCTTTTATTATATAGGATAAACAGACTTCTTTTCACTAAGGATAGCAGAAGTTAGCCCCGAAGTATTCTCATTGGCTTAGGAGAACAGGGGTGAGGAATGTCCAGCCCGAGTTGCCGTATAAGGCCTGTTAAATCATTTGGCCTTTCTAAGGCGTTAGGGGTGAGTTAATTAAATGTTTGGTCAAATATAGCAGGCTGATTTTTAAGTTGAAAATTTTGTGTGGCCCGAGAATGATGTTATAAATATCCAAATGGCCCTTGACAGAAAAAGTTTCCCACCTCTGGTTAGCATATGACATGGGTTAATATACAGATATGTGCCACTTAAAACTTTATTTACAGAAACGGGCAATTTGCCTGCAGACCATAGTAATTCAATTTGGTTTTTGAAAGTATTCATCCTGATTGCTGAGTCTTTTGGTGCCCTCTTAAATTTTGCTCCCAAGCTGAAGCTTCACTTGCCTTACCCTAGTCTTGGCCCCTGTTGTAATTAATGTCTGTTTTTCTCACAGCCACCCGTCACTAAGAGTCTGTTAACCAGCTGTAAACCAGTAACTGATAAAATCCACAAAGCGTATAAGGACAAAAACAAATATAGGTAAGTAGACATAAAATATTCTCTTTGTTTAGTTTAAAAATAATTATTATGAGAGTCTAGTATTTTCATCATTTTACAATGGTTTATTTTTTTTTTTTTTTTTAAATATATTTTATTGATTTTTCACAGAGAGGAAGAGAGAGGGATAGAGAGTTAGAAACGTCAATGAGAGAGAATCATCGACCAGCTGCCTCTTGCACACCCTCTACTGGGGATGTGCCCGCAACCAACGTACATGCCCTTGACCGGAATCGAACCCGGGACCCTTCAGTCCCCAAGCCGACGCTCTATCCATTGAGCCAAACCGGTGCCGGCTTACAATGGTTTATTAATCATTCTTTTTTAATATTTATGTGAGATCGTTTTCTTTAGTCATATTGAAAGATTAGCTCATTCTGAGGATGCTGAATCTGTAAAGTTTTATAAAATATTTTCCTTATTGAAAATCTGTCATATTAACATAAATATTTTTATTCTTTATATTTTATAATTAGGTTTGAAATCATGGGAGAAGAAGAAATTGCTTTTAAAATGATTCGTACCAATGTTTCTCATGTGGTTGGCCAATTGGATGACATAAGAAAAAACCCTAGGTACTGCTTTTTTTTTTAAACTTTATATATTTTAAACTTTAAAAATATATTTTATTGAATTGATTGGGGTAACATTGTTTAATAAAATTATATAGGTTTCAGGTGGACAGTTCTATAACACATCATCTGTGTGTACTGTGTGTTCACCACCAGAGTCTAGTCTCCTTTCATCACCCTTTATGCCCCCTTTTTCCTCTTCTGTCTGCCCCTACCTCCTTTCCCTCTGGTGATCTCCATGCTGTTGTCTGCTAACACAATGATCCAGTTAGTAAACTGCACTTATTGAACACTTAACTGGAAATCATTAATTTATTCCATAGCTACAAGGCACTTTTCAAGATTATCTTTCCTAGTTCTGTTATACAGGTGAGGAATATCCAAAGAAAAAATTTATAAGACATTACTGCCTCAGAGAACCTTATCAGTAAATAAAACATCTGTCTTGTGGCATACATCTATTTAAAATATATTTGGAATCCACATTTTCTTATTTTGTGAAGTCAGAATCATCCTTACGATAATCAGTAACCCTGGGTCTCTGTTATTTTCAGGAAGTTTGTTTGCCTGAATGACAACATTGACCATAATCATAAAGATGCCCAGACAGTGAAAGCTGTGCTCAGGGATTTCTATGAATCCATGTTCCCTGTACCATCCCAGTTTGAGCTGCCAAGAGAGTATCGGAACCGTTTTCTTCATATGCATGAGCTGCAGGAATGGTAAGTGCTCATGGCTCGTATATGTATGTGTGTATTTTTTGTTTAAGAGTGATGAAATGTCTTTTTATTAACATATACTTTTATTAATTTCAGAGAGGAAGGAAGAGGGGGGGGAGAGAGAGAGAAACATCAGTAGTGAGAGGGAATCATTGATTGGCTGCCTCCTGCACACCCCACACAGGGGATTGAGGCTGCAACCTGGGCATGTACCCTGATCAGGAATTGAACCATGACCTCCTGGTTCATAGGTTGACACTCAACCACTAAGCCATGCTAGCTTAGATGAAATTTCTTTAATGCAGTGTTTGCTCTATCATTAATTTTTTTTTCCAAATATATTTTATTGATTTTGTACCGAGAGAAAGGGAGAGAGATAGAGAGCTAGAAACATCGACGAGAGAGAGTCATCAATCAGCTGCCTCTTGCACAACCCCTACTGGGGATATGCCCGCAACCAAGGTACATGCCCTTGACTGGAATCGAACCCAGGACCCCCTAGTTCCCAAGCCGACGCTGTATCCATTGAGCCAAACCGGTCTCGGCTATCATTAATTTTTAGAGAGAGTGGAAAAGAGAGGAAAGACAGAGAGAAACATTGATGTGAGAGAAACACATGGATTGGTTGCCTTCTGCATGTGCCCTTGACCAGAATCAAACCCAGCACTCTGCTGTCTGTAGTGCTCTATCCACTGAGCCAAACCAGTTAGGGCTAGAAGTAATTTTCTTTAGAAGTCCTCATCTCTGCCTGGATAACTTTTACTAATTCAAATATAATGAAAAATGAGAACTTATGTTGGAAAAGTGTATCGTGTTAACATTTTAGAATTGCCTCCAGGCAGTGTTTTTTTGTTTTCCCATGATTGTTTTTGCTAAACTGGTATATAAATAACTCTAAGTAATATAGTGAAACCATGCACAAAACTACTTAATTGCTTTCTTCTCTCTCTTCACAGGAGAGCATATCGAGACAAATTGAAGTTTTGGACTCATTGTGTACTAGCAACATTGATTATGTTTACTATATTCTCGTTTTTTGCTGAACAGGTAAGCTTTATATCTTATGTGGGGATCAAACAGTATTTCTTGGTATATTAGTATCTGATTCTTTTATAAAATGATATAAAGTCACAAGAAATTTTTAATTTCTTCTATTGGTTTGTAGCTAATATGTCAAATATCCTATATAACAAAGAGGTAATATGCAAATTGACCATCATGCCCTCACAAGATGACTGGTTATGACCAGGTCGGCAGGGGGTTAGTGAGGGATGACCAAACGACTGAACATGCAGGTTGCATGGGGCAACCAGGCTAGCTGGGGGGGCATTTGGGGCAGCCAGGCTGGCAGGAGGAGAGGGGGGTGTTAAGGGCAGTCAGTCAGACAGAGTGGGGCAGTTGGGGGCAACCAGGCTGGTGGGAGGGGGTGAGTTAGGGGCAGTCAGTCAGACAGAGGGGGGCAGTTGGGGGCAACAAAGCCAGCAGGGGTGGGGCAGAAAGAGGTGACCAGGCTGGCAACGGGGGTCAATTAGGGGCAACCAGGCCAGTGGGGGGTGCAGTTTGGGGCGACCAGGCCATCAAGGGGGCAGTTGGGGTGACCAGGCTGGCAGGGAGAGCAGTAAGGGGTGACCAGGCAGGCAGGCAGGTAAGCGATTAGAAGCCAGCAGTCCAGGATTGTGAGAGGGATGTCCTACTGCCAGTTCAGGCACAATCCCCAGGATCAGACCAAAACTGGCAGTTGGACATCCCCCAAGGGATCCCGGATTGGAGAGGGTGCAGCTGGGCTGAGGGGACTTCTCTCCCCGTGCATGAATTTTGTGCACTGGGCCTCTAGTATTTCATAATATGCAGGCATCAAACATGATAGCCTTTTATTCACTTATCTTTTAGGTCCATTACCAGTATTCTTTTTATCTGGACCTCAGTAGATTAACTTGAAGGCTTTAAGCTAAAATTGAAATGTTCTAAGTATTTTTAACCAAAACCCAAGTAGAATTCTCATCTGGTATTGTATTTGAAAATGAGTCTCCAATTTTTTTCTTTCTTATAACCTTTCTAAAAGTGACTGAAGTATCTTATCTTCACTTTGCCCAATTAAATTTTCTTTGAATTCCTGAGAGTTCTCCATGTAGGCACACAACGTCCTCAGGTGAGGTCCAGGAGTAGAAGGGAGATTTCTGATGTAAAAAGAAAGGGACAGGGGAATCCTTATTTAGGCCACAGGTGTGAAATCTCTGAAGAAAAAGGGCTGGAAAAGGAAGGGAAATGGTGTCTGGACTGACCTGACTTGTGCGGGGCAAGTGAACCTGGGCTCAGCCTCCTTTCCCGGTGACTATTGAGTGGAGTTCTTTTTAGCTGTCACTTACAGGAAACTCACATTGACTTTATTTACACTGAGACGGAGGAGGAAGTCACAGCGCTTGGGCTTCCTGCCACAGAGGGAAGGAAAATCAGGAAATGGAGAATTGGACAGGAGATCAGGGAATAAAAATAAATCTTGTTCTTGATTTTTGTTGCCATTCTTCCTGGCAGGTAACATCTTTTTTTTTTTTTTTTTTAAATATATTTTATTGATTTTTCACAGAGAGGAAGAGAGAGGGATAGAAAGTTAGAAACATCGATGAGAGAGAATCATTGAACAGCTGCCTCTTGCACACCCCCTACTGGGGATGTGCCCGCAACCAAGGTACATGCCTTTGACCAGAATCGAACCCAGGATCTTTCAGTCCGCAGACCGACGCTCTATCCACTGAGCCAAACCGGTCCAGGCAGGTAACATCTTTTTTAAAATAATCTTAAAAAGACTGTACCTGCTTCTAGAACAGGAGTCCAGTGAGGAAACTGAGCCTGTTGTGCTGGCCAGCGGTCAGGTCGGAGAGGGATTGTGGGTGAAAGGGCTCAGGTCTTTCATCTTGTCATTTATGCCACCTGAGAAAAGGGAACCAGAGCGGAGGAGGGAAAGGGATGAGAGGAATGAGTCTCCTCTCCTCTTTACCTGCTTGAATCAAATTCCTTAACCTGTATCGTGCTCACAAATAAACCAGCCAACCCTGCCTCTCCCTCTGGCCCAGAATCCCAGCTCATGATTCAAACCAGGGACGTCTGTGCCTGCACAAAGCCCTGCTTCCACCTCGACATGGAGGGGTAGATAGTAGAATCCCAAATTGAAACCATAAAAACACATTTATTTTTCTCATAAAGTGGTCAAGTTTCTATTTCGGATGTGACATGAATAGTTTCGATGAGAAAGAAATATGTATCCCAATTCTAAACTAGTAAATTATAAATGAACTTTTTACTTTATCAACCCACACAAATTAAATATTGCCTGTATTTTCAAATGATTGTTGCTCGGTTTAAGTATAGGGAGAAATGGTGATAGGATTTTAATGTAGGGTGTGTGTGTGTGTGTGTGTGTGTGTGTGTGTGTGTGTGTTTTAAGATTTATTGATTTTTAGAGAGAAAGGACTTGAGAGGGAGATAGAGGGAGAGAGAGATACATCAATGTGAATGCAAAACATCTATCGGCTGCCTCCCACACACTCTGCCCCGCCCTCACACCAGGGATTGAGCCCCGCAAGCCTGGGCATGGTCCTGACAAGGAATTGAACCAGTAACCTTTCGATGCACAAGACAATACCCAACCAACTGAGTCACACCAGCCAGGTTTTAAAAAAATGTTTTAAGAATTCTGTCTTGCATCTCTAGACATTTCCAAGCCTGGAGACAGTGTCTTAATGGCTAAACAGAGCCATTTTCCTTCAACAGAAAGACTTGACAGACATCTTAAAAATAAGTATGCTTGGTAATAGCTGTGTAAAAATCTGTAGCTATAGGTCTTTAAAAAGTGAAGCTTAGATCAAAATAATTTTAATCCTCATGGATTTAAATATCTTGTGGGCGCATATGTAGGTATATTGATCCTACAGAGTGAAACAAAAGTAGGAGTTGGTTTTGTTTGGGAGGAGGAATAATGAGACTAATTCATTGTCTGTTTTTTTATGTATAAGACTGTGTACATAGTTAAGGTCATGTGACTCATAAAATTTAAAGTTTGTCAATTTGGAAATTAAAATTTATTTTCTGTCTTTCATCATTCAGTTAATTGCCCTTAAGCGGAAGATATTTCCCAGACGGAGGATACAGAAAGAAGCAAGTCCCAGTCGAATCAGGGTATAGAAGATCTTCATTTGGAAGTCATCTATTTCGGCATTCACGGCGTTTTAAAGCTTGGCAAGACAGAGATGTCTTCACAATGTGAAGCTTCGCCAGCTTGGCCCGAAGAAGGAAAAACGCCCAGGACAATACTTGTTTTGTGGTGTGAGTACAGCCTCCTGACCAGGGATTGTGAACATTCGTGTGTTGAGCAATTCTGAACTGGTTTTACTTTTAAAGCATTTGCTCATGGACCTGTCATTCTTTTAATGAAACGGGTCACTGACAAGAGATGGCTGCCAAGTTCCCACGGCAACCACTGTCAACTAACGTGAACATGAGAAGCCTATGGCAGCTTGGGATTCTGGGAGATTGGGAGAGACCCCAGCTTTCGCATTCCAAAGCCTTTTGCTGGGGTTCTACTTTTTTTTTTTTTTTTTTTTTTTTTAAGATATATTTTATTGATTTTTAACAGAGAGGAAGGGAGAGGGATAGAGAGTCAGAAATATCGATGAGAGAGAAACATCGACCAGCTGCCTCTTGCACACCCCCGATTGGGGATGTGCCCGCAACTAAGGTACATGCCCTTCCTTGACTGGAATCGAACCTGGGGCCCTTCAGTCTGCAGGCCAACGCTCTATCCACTGAGCCAAACCGGTTAGGGCAGGTTCTACATTTTTGGTGTTTCCTTTTTCATTTCTCATTTTTAAAATTAAGTAGCTACTAAGTTAGCTAGTAATTTTTGCTTTTGAAAATAATGAATTGGGATGTCTAAACATGTTTTTAATCAATGTTACTTAAGTAATGCAACATAATAATATCACCTTCTATTGGCAATATCTAAATTATTTTATTAATGTTTAAGACTAGTAAGTGGTCTTAAATGACTTACAACTACTGACAAGCTCAATGATTGACCTCTGGAATACTTTGTCCTTGTTTTCTCTCTCCCCTAAGAATACTGTGATTTCATGTGGAGATCTAATTGTAAAGGGCTAGACTTAAGTAGCAGAGCTACTTTTCAGATGTAATTATGTTTTGGAAATGTACATATTTGAACAGAAGTGATTCATTTTAGAAATGAGTACTGCTGATGGTACTGATCTTATAGTATTGTCTTTTTTAATACCCATCAGTATATCCCAATTGATTTTATATAATGCAGGGATCAGCAAACTTTTTCTGTAAAAAGCCACATAGTAAATATTTCAGGCCATATCTGTCTCAGTTGCATTTTCTTCTTTGTTAAACTGTAAACATGTCAAAACCATGTTTAGCATACAACTGTACAAAACCAGACCACTGGTTGGATTTGCCCCACAGACCATTGTTTGCTGACCATTGGGATAGAGAATTAGTATTTTTATGTCTGGGTAAGTCCTGACAGTCAGCCATATTTTATTTATATCATTATGCAGTGGATTTCTGGAGACCAGATACCACAATTCTTTTTTAACTCTGGCAGTTATTTTAGATCAGGATCTCAACAGTATTCTTTCAAAATGACACACGTTTTGTAAAAAGAACTTGTGATGTAAATATTTTGTTTGTGCTGTAAATTATGTATTTCAAATATTGAAATCTCATAACAATTTATATTTTGTCTGATGCTTTGTTTTTTAAATCTTTGAGGAATGAGTGTATTTTATCGAGATTCAGTAGTCACTTGAATGCTTAGACAGTGTATCGGTATGTGAAAATAAGTGGAAAGGAATGTAAGGCCACAGTAGTATTATAACATATTAGAGAATCTCATTTTGTAGGAGGGAAATAAGTTCTAAATGAGATTTATCATATGGTAAAAATGTAGGGGCTATCTGGAGATTATTTTAATATTTTTTAAATTGATTTTAGAGAGAGAAGGAGGGAGAAGGAGAGATAGAAACATTGATGAGAAACACCAACATCGATTGGCTGACTCCTGCATGCCCCAGGTTGGGTACTAAGCCTGCAACATGGGCATGTGCCCTGACTGGGAATTGAACCTGTGACTACTTGGTGGGTGGGGTCAATGCTCAACCACTGAGCCATACCAGCCATGCTGGAGATAATTTTTAAAATGAAGGATTTATTTTAGAAAGGTAGAGAAATGATCCTTTGGGTATGGTGGACATGTCTGTGGTTTGGTAAATATATTCATATCTAATTAGAAGTTTTCTAGATAATGGGATTGATCATAGAATATTCATAGAATTATTCATCTAATGATTATGTAGAGTCTCTAAGGACAGAGGAACTTTAAAAGTTGATGAGTAATTAAGTGGTTTCAAATTCTTAAAGCCTCAAAATAATTGTAGTTCAAATGACATTCAGTATGTAATACAGAAGAAGGAAAGCTGCTCATGTTGCTTAACCCCACAATGGTGCCTCTAAACTCCCATGCCCTGCATCTTATCATGAAGCTGCTAGGGTCATGAAGATCATGTGACTTGCCCAAGATCTGACAGCCAGTTAGAGGCAAAGGTGGATTGGTGCCCAGGTTGTCTGTCTCTTTTTTCCCATCCCCTCCTGGCCATGTTGAGTCCCCATGACATAATGTCAGAAGCAGGTAAAACACCCATCTCTTTAGTCAGACTTCTGGGGCTTGAGTCCTGGATCCTGGACATTGTTTGCTCTGATTCCGTTTCCTCTTTTAAAACTTGGGAGGCAACACTGATGTCTAAAGGAAATGGCATATGTAATATACCCAGCACAATGCCTGGTTAATGTCAGGGATGATGATGGTAGAGGTGAAAATTTGTGTGAAGGATTGATGCCCAGGGCAGAGGTGAGGTTTTTAATGTAGTCAGGACAAAATGATTACATTGCCTACTTAATTTTTCAAAAGTGTTTTTATTAAGATTATTTCTACACATACCACGAAGTATACAAATAAGTGACTGGCAAATCAAGGATTTAAAGGAAAGTCTAAGCACAATTCAGATAAAAACATTTAAGAGAGAAACAGCATCAACCCCACAAAAATTCCTGTAGAGTGTAAAAAAAAAAAAAGAAGGAAAACACACTTACTCCTTGAGGTCAGTACAATCCCACACAAAAACCTGGCTCAGTTACCACAAGAAAGGAAAACCACAGGCCATCTACCTTATGAATCTCAAACAAAGCACTAGCAAGCCAAATTCAGTCATTCCCCAAAGGAACAATTCTTTATGATTAAGGTGAGTCCACTCCAGGAATGCAAGATTGGCCCAGCACTTGGAGAATCAATGCAATTCACATGACCAAGGAAAAGAGAAATTTCATGATCATCTCAACTGACCTTTCATCCGTGAATAAATTTTGAATAGAGTCACAATGGAACATTATTCAGCAATGAATATGAAAGAACCATAGCTATATGTAATAATAAAGATTTTCTGAAACATAATGTTAACCAAAAAAAGTGAGTATTCTATACTCATAGAATATGGCTCAGTTTTCTGTACTGCCTAAACTAAACTAACTAAACTAAACAACTAAACAGGATTGTTTAAGGACACATATATGTGGTAACAAAACTTAGAAAATGGTAGGGAGTGGCAAATATTTACACAAAATCCAGGATAATTGAAACTATTTCTGACTGGAAAACGGGGGGATGTGTTGGGCAAGGATTTCCTGAGGAGATTTCATTGGGTTCTAGTAAAATTTACTTCACAAATTAGGTATGTGTTCACCATATTTCATAACTTATATATGGTTTTATAACTTTCAAATATCATAAAATTTTAACAGTTATTAAAAAAGAAAAACCGGAAAGCAACAGGCTTCAAACATATATTAGCCACAGGCCCCAGGCGCAAGGTGCTCTGGGTCAGCCGCAGCCTCGTGGTCCCTCGCGCAGGGGGGCGGAGCCCAGCAGCCCAGGGCACGCATGCGTGCACTGCGACCAGCCAATCAGACGCTCCTGATGGGGCGCTGCGAGGCGGCCTGTTCTCCCAGGTGCCTGATTCCAAGTTGCTTCGGAGGAGCGAGGAGCGTGGCGGGTAGCGAAGCGGCTGCCAGGGGAGGAGGCTGGCGCGCCCGGGGCACCCGTGGGAGAGCCGGGCTGCGGTCCTCGGCAGCCAGGCTCTTTTCTCAGGTGAGGAGGCGGGAGTTGGTCCCGGGCGGGTGTCCATCAGGGGTTACTCTTGCTCCGTCAGGTAAACCCTTCTCATTGGCTCCACCTGGGCCTTTGACAGTCAATGGGAGCAGGGCCTGGACTGGCCACAGGGCAGCCGGACCGAGGGGGCAGCCGGGGACTGAAGGACGGAGGGGGCGGCTGGGGGCTGAGGGACTGAGGGGTCAGGCGGGGGCTGAGGGATGAGGGGGCGGCCGGGGCTGAGGGACCGAAGGGGCTGAGGGACCGAGGGGTCAGGGCGGTGCTGAGGGACCGAGGGGGCGGCCTGGGCTGAGGGCTGAGGGGGCGGCCGGGGCTGAGGGACGGAGGGGCTGAGGGACCGAGGGGTCAGGGCGCGGCTGAGGGATGGAGGGGTCGAGGGGGCGGCCTGGGCTGAGGGGAGCCGCCGGAATGGAAGGGAGCCAGGCCGCGGGGCGGGGTGGGCAGAAAGGGGCCCAGCTGGGTCTGATGGGCACGCTCATGGTCCTGCCAACCACGTTTTCACTTTGGGACTGAAATGGGAAAGCTAGGTTTGCCCACTGTTTAGCCAGATTCTGGCAGAGGCCAGACTAAAATCCTGATCTCCCTCCCTCCCGGTGTGAACACCCCTGGAAGCAGGGTTGATGCTCTCTTTTTGTTGTTGTTTGTTTATTCTCATTAGAGGATGTTTTTCCATTGATTTATTTTTATTATTTTTTTTTTTTTTAGAGAATGGAAGGAAGTGGGAGAGAAACATCGATATGAGAGGGGACACATCGATTGGTTGCCTCCTCTGGGGCAGAGATCATGTACTCTCATTGTTCACTTTCGGTCCATCAAAATAAACGAGGGGATTCCTAAATGTTGCTCAACTAAGATAATCTTTATTTGATATTTCTAATTTTGAAATTTACCAGCTTATTTAAACGGTTTCCTTGGATTCAGAAGGTTTAAGATGTTTGTTTTTTAAAAGTTAAAAATATGGAGCCCCCTGGAAGCAAACAAACCAAGAAATCAGGGAAGACATCAGTGGAGGATAGAAAGACATCCATGAAGGATCGGGCTGCAATTGCCTATGACTTTCAAAAAGAAGATAAACGAGATCTGAATGATTCAGAGGAAAATGCTACTGATGGTACAGTATATCTCATATCGTGCAGTTACCATGTCCTACAGTTCATTTATTTTGAACCTACTGCATTTTAATAAGACTTTCTCAAGCAGTTTAATGTACTTAATGTTTCTCATTTGGAGTTAGAGTAGCTAATATAGCAGATCTTGCTTTTGCAGTCGTTATTCTCAAAATGTCGATTAAGTAGTGCATGGCTTTGCTATGACATTAACACAGGAAAACTTGCAAAATTGTTCCTTTAAAATGGTCCTGGAGCCCTGGCCGGTGTGGCTCAGTTGGTGGGAGCGTCCTCCCATACACCTGAAGGTGCCAGGCTTTATTTCTGGTCATGGCATATACCCAGCTTATGGGTTCGATCCCCAGTCCAAGCAAGTACAGAAGGCAATAGATCTGATTCTTTCTCACATTTCTTTCTCTTCGCCTTCTCTTTTTTTCATCCTTCTTTCTCTCTGCCTTCCTCTCTCATATCAATAATCATATCTTTGGATAAGAATGAAAAAAAAAAAAAAAAGGTCCTGGATCTTGATTAAACTCCACCCGACTTACAGAGAAAGTATTGCATTTCTATATTGACTTTAAAAATTCATGTTAGGAAAAAAAAACACAAAAACTCATGTTAGCAAAAAGCTTATAAGATCTCAAAATTAGTTCATTAAAAATTATCCAAATAGCATACTTAATTTCAAAAATATATTTTTTATTGTCAATGCAGCAAAGACTACAGCAATTGATAAGCTTGGGAAGAAAAGAACTTCTACAGTAACAGTTGAAGATATGGGGTAATGTGCTCAATATAAGTTTTGCCTATTAGATAGTACTTTAAGAAAAGTAGATTTTGGTTGTCCAATGAGTATTATATGTAAAATACTGGAGGTGTGATATTTCTTCCAAAACAAGTATGATTTTTTATGGATCCTTAATTTAAAATACTTAAATGTAATTTCTTCACAGAGGTGAAGTACAGAATATGCTGGAAAGATTTGGAGGTATGTTTTAGAATATTCTTTGTATTAAAAATTGTTTTAAACCAAATAACTTGTATAATAATCAGTGTTTGCAAGACTATTATTTATTTTTTTAAATACATTTTTATTGATTTCAGAGAGGAAGAGAGATAGAAACATCAATGATGAGAATCATTATGGGGCTGCCTCCTGCACACCCCCTACTGGGGAACGAGCCCATAACCTGGACATGTGCCCTGACTGGGGAATTGAACTGTGATATCCTAGTTCACAGGTTGCCACTTAACCACTGAGCAATACCAGCCAGGCTCAAGATTGCCACTTAATGTTTTGCTCTCATATAAGTGATTTTGCATAAATATATTGTGTGATTCAGCTTCATAGTTTTCCTTACTTAATCTTTTCCAGTTGTTGATGTGAAGAGTGCAAAAGTTAATAACAATGATGAGTATTAGAATGGTGCTTTTATTTTATACTTGTGCAAATTTAATGGATTGGAATTTTAGGACAAAATGGATGGGAAAAGTCTTTGCCTCTCTTAGGACTTTTGCAGACTCTTCCACACATTACAAACACACACATATCTGTATGTATGTCAGTTTCCATTTACTCAATTTGTTTTCTATAACATTCCTTAGTTCTTTTCTTTAACAGGGGAGTGTAAACTGAAGCCTTTGAAGTAACTCTATTGTTATTTTTACATCATTAAACTATATAGTTGAGAAGTAAAAATAGTCTTGCCTAGCTACTAAGAAATATATAATCAGATAAAAAGTTCATAAACTTTAACCAGTTAAAGTTTATGTCAAATATCAATTACATTAACTGTCTGGGGACACAGTACTCAAAAAAAGTCAATATTTGTCTTTTCTATATGGTTTATTCATATAATTGAGACCTTTTTTTGAAAACTTTGCTCTGGTGGTGGCAAAATGCTTGTTTTGTAATTATATATACTTAATGTTGATGGATATTGGATATATAAAATCTATATTAATAAAAGGGTGATATGCTCATTAGACTGGGAGACCGTTTGGACAAAACCATGGTGGTGGGGCCAAGGTAGAGGTGGTTAGGGGTGGTCAAGCCAGGAGGGGAGGGCAGTTGGGGGCTAGGAGGCCAGTGGGGGCAGCAGTTTGGGGGCAGACAGGCTGGCAAGGGGGGGCAATTGGGGACGAGCAGGTTGGCAGGGGGGGCAAGTGGGGGCGGGCAGGCAGGTGGGGGGCAAGCAGGCCAGCAGGGGAGGGGGCCATTGGGGACAAGCAGGCTGGTTGGAGGGGGAGGGGGTGTTGGGGGTGAGCAGGCCAGCAGGCAGAGTTGTTAGGGGTAATCAGGCAGGTTGGTAGGTGAGCGGTTAGGAGCCAGCGGTTCTGAATTGTGAGAGGAATGTCCCAGATTGGAGAGGGTACTGGCCAAGCTGAGGGACACTCCACCCCTCCACCTCCTGTACGAATTTTGTGCACTGGGACACTAGTATTTTTATAATAATGCAGCTCCATCATGATTACTGAAAAGTAATACTTGAAGGTAGATCCATATGCATGTTTAGCAAAGCATTTATTAAAAAAAATTTTGAGTTCTGACCAGTAGGAGTGTTATCCTGTACACCAAAAGGGGCCAGTTCAATTCCAGGTCATGGCACATCCAGGTTTCAGGTTCAGTCCCTGGTCAGGGTATGTATGGGAGGCAACTGATCAATGTTTCTTTCTCACATCAATGTTTCTTTTCCTCTTTCTTCTCTCTAAAGCAATAAAAACATATTTAACATTTTTTAAATACAGTTCTTATGAATAAAAATGTATTATAAATAGCTCCATGAAAGTATTCAAAAGGTTCTTAAATTATTTATCTAGATATCTTCTTTAAAAAAAAAAAAGATATATTTTTATTGATTTTAGAGAGGAAGGGAGGAGAGAGAGAGAAACATTAATGATTAAAGAGAATCATCAATCAGCTGCCTTCTGGATGCCCCATACTGGGGCTCGAGCCCACAGCCTGAGCAAATGTACTGCCCGGGAATTGAACTGTAACATCCTGGTTCATAGGTTGATGCTCAACCACTGAGCCATGCTAGCTGGGCCAGATATTTTCTTAAGATTTTTCTATGCTTAGTTTTGGTCAGAGTTAGTAAAGTTTGATTTAAATGATCACCAAGTGTATTTTTAAAAAGTATTTGTATTGCCTGGTTAGAATGGCTCAGTTGGTTGACCATCCTCCCATGCACCAAGAGGTGGCTGGTTCGATTTCTGCTGAGGGCACATATCTGGATTGTGGGTTTGATCCCCAGTTGAGGAGCTTATGGAAGGCAACCAGTTGTTGTTTCTCTCACATTGGTATTTCTCTCTATATAGCATGTCTTCAGGTGAAGATTAACAAATAATAAAATAATTTTCTTATTATTTAACTATTTTTATCCTTTTTGAATTTAGAAATAGTTTTGCGTGTTTCCTATAATGAGTTCTAATGATAATTCATCTAAATGTGTTGTTTCAGTTGGTTTCAGGTGAGTATTTTATAAATTTAGAAAAATGTAGCCTTTTTTTTTTTCTCATAAAGAAATTAAAGCCTACTCTTGAGTTCCTTTCTTTCCTTTAATTAACTCTTTTTAATCATCTATAAATTTTTTAAAAATCTGAACTTGGATATTAATAATGAAAAGTTTTCTTAGAAAAAAGCAAATAACCTTGCTTTTGGATATTCTGCTTATCTTAAAATTTAATTTTAAATGTCTTTCTGAAACTCATTTTTATTTCAATATTATAGGCCTGGGACACAAAATTTGTGCATGGGTAGGGTCCCTAGGCATGGCCAGCGATCAGGGCCAATCTGTGGGTCCCCACTGGCACCCACCTTGGCTGGCTTGACGCTACTCACTCATCATAGAGGAAAGCAACTGGCGGGGCAATGGGGGGGGCACCGCCCACTCGCTGGCCAGGCCTGTCCCTGCTGGTTGCCTTCCTCTGTGGAGCAATCGGGGCCCCCACTGGCACCCACCTTGGGTGCCCTGGGGGAAGCTCCTACATTGTGCATCTGCCCCCTGGTGATCAGTGTACATCATAGTGGCCAGTTGTTCCACAGGTTGCTCCACCATTAGGTCAATTTGCATATTAGGTTTTTATTATATAGGATTTGGGAACAAAATATGTGATTTTTTTCAATATTACATTTTAATGAATATTTATTTTCCACATAGCTAACATTAGAAATTCTCTTAATACAAAGAAAAAAAGATTAGCATTGTATACGAAGATTTCTCTCAAAACCAGTAACCAGAAAATTGAACATATTTGGAAAATCCAAAAAGAACAAAGGTATGGTTGTTGGTTCTTTCACAGCGACATTTTTATCATGTCAAAATATTCATTAGTGTAATTATGAAAAATACTATTATATTTATTGGGGTCTCCAGTAAAAAATATATTTGACTTAATTTTTCTCTAAGTCCTTTAGTACTATAACTTCACTCCTTCATAGACTTGAAATATATTTCCTAGAAATCAATAAAGATTACCTTAATCCCCTTTTAAATGAAAATTGAGTTTTATTTGTCTAAAGGTAATTTGTATTTGTTATAAAAATATACTAAGTGAATAAAAAGTAAATGTTATTAAACCATTAGTCTTGTGAAAGTCAACTACTTAACAGTGTAGAAAAAGATCAATCTGATATTGTAAATAATTTGTATATTTAAGCTGAAGTAACTATTCTTTTGTATAAAATCATTGTTTAACCAAAATGGGCACATGTTAAGTGAAAGATGTCTATTTGGAAATCTTATCTGATAAATACTAGAATAACTTAATTGAATCTATCATATCAGAACCCATATTCAGTAGAATAAATGAAAAATAAACTGCTTGGCAGTAAAATGGGTTTTTCTGGAAATTTTATATATACAATAAAATTTTTTAAATTTTCAAGAGCTATAGGGTTAGGAGAACAAACATGTCTGGAATCTTGATTTTATTTCTTGGTTTCATATCTGAAATTTTAAGGTGCTTTTATTTCCTTCTTTTATTATAGTACAAGGTTGTAAAGTCACTTTTGTTTTGAAATTTTTTGATACTGTTATAAAATATGACAATATCATTATTATGTTTTCAGGCAGAAGCTTAGGCAAGAATATTCTCAGCAGTTTCTGAGTTTGTTTCAGCAGTGGGAGATAGATATACAGAACGCCAAGGAACAAGAAGAAAAACTAGCTGTTAGTATCATGCTTAGAATTATAATTAATCTATTAACCAAGTGTCAAGTGGAAATGGAGACCCATAGAATTTGTCCGGGTTCCATTATCCATTGCTGGCATTATGCTTTGGTCCTGGTGATTGGTAAACCAGAGAAGTATAGGCACATACCAAAATCATAAAAGCTGATGGTCTTTGCTTCCTATATTGGTTGTGATTTTTTCAGTTCCAAGTGACACAAATTTGCCAAAGTACAAAAGGACTATTGGTTTATATATATATATATATATTAAAAAAAAAAATAAGTCCAGGGGGTTAGCTTCAGGCATAGGTGGATGGGGTGGAGAATTTCTCATGTAGTATAGTCTTGGCTCTGTCTCCAGATTTTAGTTGGCTCTCTCAATGTGGTAAGCAAGATAGCTTCTTGGAATCCCAGACTTAACAAATTTAGTAATTCCAGTGGACTATCTTTCTTAGTAACCCTGGCAGAAGAGTCCTCTGGAGGAACATTACTGATCCCTTTGGGAAATTTACCCATTATTGAATAAGTTATTATGATCAAAACATGGTTTACTCTCCCCCCCCCCCCCCCCGTTTTTTTTTGTGTTTTTTTTTTTAATTCTTACCTGAGGATATTTTCCCATTGATTTTAGAAAGAGTGGAAGGGAGGGGAGAGATAGAGAAACATAGATGTGAGACACACACATTGATAGGTTGTCTCCTAAACGACGGGTGTGGGGATCAAGCCTACAACTGAGGTACCGGCCCTTGACCAGAATCCAACCCGGATTCTGAGGCCTGATGCTTTATCCACTGAACCAAACCAACCAGGGCAAGACATAGTTTACTCTTGTGTTACCTGCATATTTCTATGGGAGATGGGGAAGTCAGTTCCACATATATAACTACATTATCTTTTTATTTCATCCTTCCATTATTTGTAAAATTAAGAATTATGGTGCTGTTCATATCAAATAATTTAAGATTGGTTGATCACCTCAGTTTTGGAAATATTAAGATGCATATGAAACATACCAAGGGGAGATGTTATGGTATGAGGCCAGTTCAGGAAAGAGGTGTTGATTGAACATACAAAGTTGGGAACTCAATATAGAGACAGCATTTAAGGCATTAGATTGGATGAAACCACCAAAGGAGTGATTGTAAATGTAAAAGAGAAGTTGAAGAACTGGACCTGTAGATTTCAAGATGAGAATGAGTGCCCTAACAGCTACAAAGAAAACTATTTTAAAGTGAAGAAAGCCTTTAAAGGAGGATTAACTTTCACATGCTGCTTATAGGCCAAATAAAATACTAGATTTGGTGATGTGAGGTCATTGGTGTTGATAAGGATGGTTCTGATCAGTCTTGAACAGAGTGGTTTTGGTGGAATAGTGAGTGCAAAAACCCAATTGGAATGAGTATAAGAATGGGGGTGGGGAGAAGGGGTGGTAGCCTGGGTAGAAAAGAAAGTGTATTGTGTTTCTTTTGTTGTTTGCTTTGCATTGTTAATCCTCACCAAAGGACCTTTTCACATTGATTTTTAGAGTGGGAGGAAAGGAGACACACATTTCAATGGTTGCCACCTGCAGGAGCCCCAACCAGAGCCAGGGATCCAACCTGCAACCAGAAATGTGCCCTTAACCAGGAATTGAACCCTCAACCCTTTGGTGTGTGGGCCAACGCTAACCACTTTGCTACATTGGCCAGGGCATTGGGGTTTTGATAATGTTGTTTTTTAAAAAATGATGAAAGACTAGCATGTTTGTATGCTAAGAGAAATAATCTTCAGGGAAAAATAAAAAAATAGTGGAAAGAGGGAAGACAGTTGCTAAATTCTTGAGAATGGATGGGACACGTGAAAAAGCCTCAGTAAGGATAGTACATCTTTAAAAATAGGAGAGCCTTAACCAGTTTGTCTCAGTGGATGGAGCATCGGCCTGTGGACTGAGGGGTCCCAGGTTCGATTCTGGTTAAGGGCATGTGCCTTGGTTGTGGGAACATCTCCAAAGGGTGATGTGCAGGAGGCAGCTGATTGATGTTTGTCTCTCATCCATGTTTCTAACTCTCTTTCCCTTTCCATTCCTCCCTGTAAAAAAAATATATATATATATTTTTTAAAAATTTTTAAAAAATAGGAGAGAAGGTAGAGTATATGAGCACAGCAATGTAGATGGGTATGTAGATATGGTGATAGGAGACTGAAAACTCTGGATTCCTTATGTTTAGTGAAATAATTAAGGCCATCATAGGATGGAAAATATGTTGCCTTTTGAGATCAAATCAGAAGGTATATTTTCTTGAGAGTGGAACAGTGAACAGACTAAGAAAATATAATTGTTAAGCAGCACTAAGGGTCCAATTTAGGCTAGTGATCATGATTTAAAGAGACCTGTTAATGTCGTTGCTTTCCTCAACTATGACCATCTGCAAGAATGTAGGCAGGATAGCTACAGTTGTATTTTCCAGGCAAACAAAGGTGACAGAATAAAAAGAGATAGTAAGATATAGATGGAAAGGAGTAATTATAATGATTTACCACAGGATTTATACTGGGAAAGAGGAATGTGAAGACACAGAGGGACAGTAAAAAGTAGGTAGGATGAATAGATTCTAGGTCTTGATAGATATTATTGAGCTTTAATACTACAAAGAGTGAGCTAGAATGGTAAAGAGAAGTAGTTGAACAAAGGGATATATGGAGAAACAGTATGAGTAATGGTTAGAGCCTGGATTCTAGAAATACTGTTTGGAATCACATTCTGGTTTGACCAAATGCTACTGTGAACTATTGGAAAAATTATTTTTTTCCCTCAGTTTCTTCATTTATGAAAGGGGGAATAATAAGAGTACCTATCTCATAGAGTTGCTGGGAGGATTAAATTTATATATAATAAGTTTATATAAAAGAATTCTGAGTATGCTATTATTCATACTATAAAGAAGTTATAGTTATTGGTAATGACAGAATCTAGGGTAGAGGTATGTAAAGGAATAACTAAAGTAGGATAGAAAGTAGGCCAAGGAACTGAAAGACCAGCATTATCAGAAGGATTATCTGTGTTGATATTGAAAGCACCAAGAATTAAGATATATTATGTATTGTTAAGATTTCCTATTCAATGACTAGTAGGATTATTATATTGTACTAGAGGCCCAGCACATGAAATTTATGCATGGATGTTCCTCAGCCCAGCCTGCACCCTCTCCAATCTGAGGGATGTCCTATTACAGGTTTAGGCCCAATCCCTGTCTGGCAGTCGGACATCCCTCTTGCAATCTGGGACCACTGACTTCTAACCACTTGCCTGCCTGCCAGCCTGATTGCCCCAACTGCCTCTGCCTGCTGGCCTGATGCCCCTAACGGCTCTCCTGCTGGCCAGATCACCCCTCACTGCTCTTCCTTACCAGCCTGATCGCCCCTAACTGCCCTCCCCTGCCAGCCTCATGGCCCCTAACTGCCTTTGCCTCAGCCCTTGCCACTGTGGCTTTGTCCAGAAGACGTCTGGTCTAATTAGCATACTACCCTTTTATTAGTATAGATATTCATGGTGAACACAGATTTTCTCTAATTTTGTTATAATAGCTGTTAAAACAAATATTTAAAGTATTGACTTTAAAACTATTCCCTTGAAACTTTTTTTTTTTTTTTGCTACATTTAAAAGCTTACTTAAATTATCACATGATTCTTTTCTTTTACATTTTCAGAATTTATTTCAACAGCAACAACAGATTTTTCAACAATCTAGACTCGGTCAGAGCCAGAGACTTAAGACAATTAAACAGTTATATGAACAATTCATAAAGGTCTGTTATATTTGGTAACATAACATATTCTTTTAAAGCAATTTATGTTGGAAGTAGAATATAATTTTTTCTAAGGGAAAAAATTTTGCTTATGCATTTAAAATTCTTAACTACTTTTCATTTTAAATTCATTGTTTTTTATTTAAGTAGTAAATGTATTCTACTTTCAGATTCTAATGTTTTTGTGGACATTATTCAAAATAGGAAATGGTAAATTGGGAATTTTACCAAAAAATATATATGTTATGAATAAGATTTGTACATAATATAAGCACCTAGTGAGAGTTCTTGGTTCAACTAAAAATAGAAAGTTCATAAATCATTTCTTTATAATTTCCAGTCTATTTATTTATTTATTCATTTAAGTATGTTCAATATTGAAACTTTAACGATTCATTAACCCACTGTTTCAAGCAAAGTATATTATAGTAGTTACCTCCTCTAATACTATTTGACTCATGTGTGGCACTTTTTAATCTTTTAGTGAGTATTCTAGTTTTGATTGCATTAGAGAATATTTTTATTTAGAATAAATAATGTACACTACTTGAATTTTTTTTAAAGCTCCTAGTTTTGAAAATTAATTGCACAAGTTTAGAACCTGAGATTAAAAATGGTGATTTATAATAACTAAACAAGCTTTTTGTGTTTTAGAGTATGGAGGACTTGGAGAAGAACAGTGATACTCTAATTACTGATGCACAAAATGAACTTAAAAATGAAATGGCTATGTTTCAGAAACAAATTATGATGGAGACTGTAAGTTATATTAAAACTGAAAAATAAGAATTAATATGTTTTAAGCACTGAAATGTTTTATTTGTTGAAATTGGTTAATACTTATCTAAAAATTAAACAAATGTTTAATATCTCCTTTCATGAACAGCAGCAGCAGGAGATGGCAATTGTTCGAAAGTCTCTTCAGTCCATGTTACTCTGATGGTTCTTGGAAGGAAGAACTTGAACCTAAGTAATATGATACAATTATAACATTAGCTAAGAGGCAAACACATTTTTAGAGTGGTTTAAAAATTGTATTTTCAAATATTACATTGAATTAATATATATTGAGTATTGTTAAGATTTCCTATTCAATGACTGGTAGGATTATTATATTGTACTAGAGGCCCAGTACATTACTCATTAGCTTAAGTGCAAGCCTCCTTTTTGTTAACCTCCAAGTAAAACCTAAATAGTTATGAGTAGCAGCAATTCCTAACTTGTATGTATAAGCTTTCTGCCTTTTAATAGTAATAGTGAATTTTTATGACACTTGTCAATTAACTTAATAATAAAGATGATCTAATTTCAAGTTTTGGCTTCAGTGTATCTGTATCAGTCCCAAAAAGTAGAAAGCACAAGTATTGGTGGTTACATTGTTACTTTTTTTAAGCCGGTTTGGCTCATTGGGAGATGGTCGGTCTGTGGACTGAAAGGTCCCAGGTTCGATTCCAGGCAAGGGCATGTACGTTGGTTGCGGGCACATCCCCGGTAGGGGGTGTGCAAGAGGCAGCTGGTTGATGTTTCTCTCTCATCGACGTTTCTAGCTCTCTCTCTCTCTCTCCCTTACTCTCTGTAAAAAATCAATAAATTATATTTAAATAAATAAATAAATAAATAAAATAAAAATTTTATTTTTATATGTACATCCTTTTGTATAAAGTCATTAACTTACACGGCCAATTCCAATGATAAGATTTCAAAAAAAAAATCTATTGACTTATAAAATGTATTAAAAGCAACTTAAATTTGTGTTGTGGAATAAAACCACTAAAAACCATTAAGGTGATTGAACAAAATATAAATACCTGTTTTAAAATACAAATTTATAAATGTCATTTCCACAAAGACAATAAAATGCCATTTAATTTAGCTTGGTTCAAAATTAAATGGCACATACTTATAGTACTGATTAAATATATGGAAGTTTGATTTTACCTTCATTTCCAAATTTGAACAGTTAATTCATATACCTTGTCTTTTAAAATGTGTATTTTAAAAACAAAATATTTGAAATACTTGATTTAATAAATAAACTGTTCCACCATTTTTAAAGTATCAGTTAAACTTACTATTTTTTTGCTCAAACTACTTTCATTGAATCATTCAAAACAAAAAATATTGCCCCCCCATATGTCCATTAGAAGTGATTTTCTCCTGTTTTTCAATGTTTTAAATTCTAATTTGTCCCCACCCCATAACACACTCTTATCTTACTTTTTAAAAGGTTTTCAAAGTTTTAAAAAACAAATCCATGGGGATTCTCTTTTTTTCTGTGATAACTTATATAGGAAGAAATTAGTCCACGATTAACAATAGTCTACCTGACATTAGGGGGACAATTTGCTTCTTAAATTTTTACATTTTGTAGAGTTCCCTTGTAAGCCAATGTATATTTTGGAATATAAATCTTAGGTACTATTCAGATGTCTAAGAAGGTCCTTATTTGAGTTTACCAAGTGTTACAGAGACAAAATAAGTACCATAGAGTGTTTTCTGTGTCCTTAATTCACGTAAGTATATACTTTTTCTTTTTAAGGATATCAACTTTCACTTTTTTCATTGTCTTTTTCTTGCTTAAGATATAGTACATGTTCATTACTCCTTTATTTATTTATTTATTTTTTATTTCATCCAAAGGCTTATGGTCTACAGAACTGTGGGATAAAATTAAAAGTAGAATAAGAGGGGAGGGAGTCTAAGGATTTGGATCACCAAAGAGGCTGGTGATAGTTCTATTATTCATAATGAACACTATAAATACTTTGAAGTGAGAGTAGAAATATAAGAATCAGTATATAGTGCATTCAGTGGTTGAGTAACTGGTACTTATTTTATCCCCTTTTTACCTCAAATGACATGTATAGTTGTAGTAACTGGCTAGTATTCTAAAGGGAAGATATTTTTGCCATGTTTTCATAAATTACTAATTTTTTAAGTCAACTGTAGTTTAAGTACTATTTTAATAGAATGAGATGTTTAATGCCCATCTTTTTATGACAATGACATTTTAACTCAGAATATCAAGAAACAAGTGCCTTCACTATAAAGATTCATTTGTTTTTCTGAACTAATAATTGTGTTGTATAATAAGACAAATTGCTTTTACATAACACAAATTATAGAAAATTCTAATAGCCCTTTTAAATTCTAGTTGGTATACTAAGGCATGTATTTCATTATATATGATAGTGGTTAACATGCCTCTTGAAAATGACTAATAAAAAATCATACATCATTAATACAGTATTATAATCCATGCATTTATACAGTATTGTGAACACACCAATTTTTAGCTAAGTAGCATCATCTTCAACATGGCTAACATCCTTGAATTTCTAAATTTTTATGTAATCATTTGGCAATGAAAATCCTGAGTATAAGAATTTGAGACAGAGACTGCTATTTAGAACTATAGTGGTTCACTTTCTTGTACCTAGAAATTTTAAATTTCTTTCTTTAGTTTTATTTCTAATTTATAGATTTGTATTACTCTGGTTATCTGTGGTAAAAAATGTTGATACACAATGAGGACTTCACAACTGAAATAGACATAATGGAAATTACAAGACTTAATGTTTTATATTCAAATATAACCTTATTTGATAATATACTAGCCTCCTGCAAAAGGGGATTTCCTTCACTCCTAGGTTCCCCTAACTGCTTCTCCTTTTTTCCTTGGGTTATTAGTCAATATGCTTGTGAACCTGTTCAGGTGCTTGATGACATGGAATCTTGAAGATATTTAGATGAAGGTGTCTTGAAATTTGCAGGCACAAAGCACTAAAGTACATAATCATATCAAATGAAGAAATGACCTTTACAGCAAAAAAGAAAATATAAAATAGATTATGGTCTATCTTTTTTGAAGCAGCAGCTATTTTTCTGCCTGCCCCCTCCCCAATTTCAAACTTAACTGAAAATTCAACAAAAATACATTTTAGAATATTTCAATATACTTCATATCTGAACCTCATATAGTCCTCTGGAACACATGCAAGATATTTCACAGTTGTAGAATTTGAGGCACAGTGGAAAAGTCCTCAACTGAAATACAAAAGCTGGAAAGGAATAGAATGGAAGTCTTCACATTCTTTCAATTATATGCTGTGCAACTAAGCTACAAATTTCAACTAGAAGGGGCTATCAGTTATAACAAAATCATTCCATCACAACGTTTCTTACTCCTTACTCCTTTTAGACTAGCTGTAAGAAAGTAAAGACCCATGAAAGTGATGTCCCTTGTGTGACAAAGGGGGACAAAAAGGTCTGGAAAAGGTACCATAGTTAAGGGGAGGCATATACAAAATTGTGTTGTATAAAAAACTGAGGAAAGCACACTATTTAAAAACTTTCCCAGAGGCTAGAGGCAGATGCTTCCTTCAGAAAAAGGAGCTTCACTGCTCTGTTGGAAGAGAGGGAATTCCACCTAAGAGAGGTAAATCCCCCTATCATTTATTTGAAAAGCTCCATGTGACCCTTTTCTCTCTGAAGCAATCACCTTTCCCCTAAGGATGCCAAAGGGCACAAGTGTTCTGAATTTGACTTCCTCACCATAATCATCAATGTAAACCAGGTCAACTCACTCATTACAAAATAGGTACTTGAGTTTTTAACCTGATATTTTAATTATGTTAAACAAGTCCATTTGGTAATATTTAAGTTCACTATAAGAAACACTACATTGAATTCTCAGATATTTTAGATAATCATCTATTTCTTAAATGTATAGTGTTTTATAGCTCTAAAAATTTTTAAAGTGGACAGCAATTAAAGGAATATTTTCTAAATAGTATTTACAAAACAGAATAATTTCCTTTAATCCCTGAAAAACTTTCAAGGATCTCACCACCATTTGAAGAATGGAAAACCTTTGAATGAACCATAAATGGAAATTATTAATTTACTCCAGAACCTAGTATAAAGGATCATCAGATGTGGTAACCCACACAGAACAGATACAGTTTTTTTAGTGCCTAAATCTAACAAATAGGGTGAGTTGATTCAAATTATCAAAAGATTCACTGCAGGGTTTCTTTCAGGACACTTCAATATGTGTTTATATATCATTAAAAATTTGGTGAAGGCAAGTGAGGTCCAGAGGTAGAGGAAAATATAGCAGAATTGTTCGGAATCACCAAAATTAAAGATCTACCATAAAGCTGTCTCAATAAAATAAAATTCCTTTATCCATTTTTGTGATTATTACCAACAATGATTTTCTTTTTTCTTTAATGGCTAAAGCTTCTCTCTTAAGTATCATAATTCTATATAATCATTTTGGATAATAATAGTTTGAAACTACCGATATATATTATCCATCACTTTCTTAAGCAGAATGTAAACAATGAAAATTTAACCTTTGCTTGATGAGACATCATGATTTAAATTATGCACTATCCTCGAGGGCCATCTATAGGGTTGCTTATTTTTACCAAAAAATGGTCCCCAACCTGGTACTTGGTAATACTGTCTGTTTTCATTTCCTCAACATTAGCTGACAGTTTTTAATGCAATAAGTGCTCGCCTTTGCTAACACGAACTCCATCTAATTTACTTGTTACTTGCCATAAGCTTTGATTAATTCTAATGAGCTTAAGTAAAAAATAATAAATGCTATAGTCCTTTGGCCGAGTAAAGTCATTTTTGGTATTTTTGTACTATTTTGGGGGGAGGAGAAAGAGATAGTTATTTTTAAGTAAACAGTTGTATTTTTAAAAATTTGGGTTGTTGGAAGCAAGATCTCCAGATATGTAGGTTGTTTCTATATTCAATAAAAAACAATT